CTGTAACATAACTCTGATTCTAATATTATAGCTGATCTATCAAAAGGATAACATTGTAGGGTACTATTTTAACTCTTATGTGGAAATGTGTTTATGAACAACAAAGGAAGGACAATTCTACTTTTTTACTACTACTAAAAACGCTACAATACTAATACTTTATCATTTTAAAAGTTTTTGTCTGTCAGATGTCTGAATACTTAACATGTATATATTGCATTTGGTCACAGGTTCTGGTTGTAGCAATAGCATCGGCAATAGACGTTTTCATTGGCTGGTTCTTGTTCTGCAAATCGCTGTGTCCAATAGATCATCAGATGTCCAGAAGCTAGGGACAAACAAAAACAAAAGAAAGAATCATGAGTATCTCTCTCATTTAGCACTCATCAATGTATGATTTCAAAAATATAAACATCACTCCCCAGTTTTCTCTCTCAGGTCCTCAGGTCCTCAGGTCCTCAGGGTCCCCTGAGGGTGAGTCTCAGTCGTCATCAGGTCAGGTCATAGAGAGATGTCATCTTGGTCATCAGTAGGGTCCAAGCCATGGTTCTGGTTCTGGTCTCCAGATGCACATCAGATCTCCAGATACAGTCTTTTCAGTTGAAGCACATCAGGTCATTTGCGATGCACTTCTGGTCAATGGTGCAGTGTCACAGTTCCTGTACACAGCTTGTAATGCAGTAGTTACTCTCTATGGTTAAGTCACTTTGATTCTACTTTAACACAATTTCTATTCATGCTGTTGCTAATGTCCCTCAGACAAAAGCAAGCGCAATGATTCAGTTTACTTCTCTAATTTGTGTTTTTATCAGATCTAATTCTAATCAATGTAATTACTTCACACAGTACAAAATCAAAACATCAAAAGTGTCAGGACAGACGTCAATTAAGTCCATGACAATATAGAATTCAAATGAACATTTCTGGTCTCAAAAAATACTGATTCAACTAAAGATTCAAGTGATAGACAATTAAAAACGTGTTTACATTGGAGTAAACTTTTAAAATGCTTTTTTCTCATGTTCTGCTTTTTCATGTATCTATATGTAAATGTGAATGTGTGAGTGTATGAGTGTATGTGTGTGTGTGTGTGTGTGTATGTGAATTTTGGGGTTGTGTCTCCAGACTCCACGAACCACCTGCAGGTGTCAAAGGTCACACTGTGGTGATGTAAACCAACTGGACACACTCTCAACTCTCATTCAGGTCTCTCCCTGATGCTCCACCCATCACGTCTCCAGATACCTCTCTTTCATGGCCCCGGTCTCTCTCACACCCACTCAGTTCTGCAGTGGCGTGGGGAGGGGCAAGGAGGTGGCATTTTCCTTTGCTCCTTGATCTGTGACCTGTGGCTGGGTGGGCTTTGCGCTGTCCAGTGTCCAGCAGTGACCCCTCCCACAGTGTGCCAGAGTCTGAAAAACAATCCTTGAGACGGCCAATTTAAAAAAACAACAGATATCAGTATGCGAATGAGATTGTTTTTCTCTCTAAGTCTAAACAATTTTGGAGCGCTCTGGGTTTTCCCAAGCGCTATGTAAATAAAAGATTACTTATTATCTTACTAATGTGAAACTTTTTAAAACCAGAAACTCTCAATATAAAAAACAAGACTCAAATCTCTTAAACCTTCAAACTTTAAAATATGTATTATGTACTTTTGTACTGTGTGATGTTTTTAATCTTGGCGTCCTTGGATTTCTTGAAATGCGCCATAAAATAGAATGAATTATTATTATTACTCAAATCGCAACTAAAACTGTATGAAAAATCTCCCTTTTACACTTGAACATTTAAAGCATATATTCTAATTTAAGATAATTTCTGCATTCTTCAAATGCACTCAATAAACTTTTAAAAACATTTTGAATTGGAAGACACTATCAAACTCTGCTCGCCCTGCAGTGAGCAGCAGCTGCAAGGCTAGAGCTATAGACAAAACAAAACTCACAAAACTCGCAGCTTTTAGACTGTAAATTGGGTCACAGTTTAACTTAATAATACTTTTACAGCCTAATTCCTAATTCCCTCTTTCTTTTTAGACGAAGTCTACAATCATTAATCACTTTTAACAGATTCTAATTTAAATGTTTGAAAAACGGCTTTTGTAACTAAAATAAAAACATAAAAAAAGTCTCACTAACAGCTATGAAATATCAGATACAATAATGGACTCACAAAATAAGCAGCAGATTTAAAAGAATGGAATCTAGAAATATGTTAGGTCTAAAAAGAATTGCACAGCTTTTAGCACTAATATTTGGGTTTCAAAAAACATATAATATTCAAAACTTATATTTACTAATGGTGTTTAAAAACGTTTAACTGTGTCTAACACAATGTTCAATTGCAAATTTAGCAAATTTAACGGAATAACAACTATGAAAAGCCTAAATCCTAAAAGCAGTAGCTTTGCTTCAGATTCAGAGCCAGAGCAGCGAAGGAGGGGGCCGTTTCCCTGACAACGGCAGCAAGATAGAGATGTGCACACACAGGCAAAAAGATACAGAAGAATAACTTTCAAGATTACTTTGTTAAGCGAATATAACTGATGTTGTTCTTTATACTTTTGTCATCCAAATCTAGAAGTGATCACTTTCCACACTAGTAACAAAAGGCACTCTTGTCTTTAACGTTTACGCTTCTATTTTATCGAGGTAGCAAACTAATTTAAACTTAAAATCTCTTTCTAAAAAACAAAAACAACTGTTGGATACAACCCTCTCATAGCTCAACTGTAGATAAAACTCGGCAAAAAATGTAAATAACTCACGAAAGCTCTCATAGCTCAACTGTAGATAAAACTCTGCATTCTCCGGTGAACTCTGTTCACGCCAAAAACAAAAACTCCCTTTTTCTGTATGTAATTTAAACCGTGATCACTGAAATATTGTTGCTTCTTTACTTTTGTCATTTATCAGCCTGAAATTTGTCAATTTCAAAGCTTTTGTAACAAAGGCCTCTTTAACACATTTCCCTTTTTATTGAATTGCTTTTAATTTTACACCATGGTTTCACTTAGGATCCTGCTCCAAGGGACTCAAACCCTGAGACTGTGTGTCTCCAAGGGATTTAAACCCTGAGACTGCTCCAAGGGACATAAACCCTGAGACTGCTCCAAGGGACATAAACCCTGAGACTGCTCCAAGGGACTTAAACCCTGAGACTGCTCCAAGGGACATAAACCCTGAGACTGCTCCAAGGGACTTAAACCCTGAGACTGCTCCAAGGGACATAAACCCTGAGACTGCTCCAAGGGACTTAAACCCTGAGACTGCTCCAAGGGACTTAAACCCTGAGACTGCTCCAAGGGACTTAAACCCTGAGACTATTTCTTTCAATACAATTTAGAGAGTTTGACAGACCCCAAAAACAGACCAAAATTTAGCTAATATCCAATTATGCAGACTTTACATATAAAAAGGTGTCTGCTTACCTTAATTCTTTTCAAACAGGTACCAAGGACTGTCCGAGAGGTCTGCCAACATCTTTTCCGCGTCGGAATATTCAATTTAAACACAAAACAGAGAAAGTGAGGGAGCAAGAGCAAGCCCATCCAAAAGCGAGCCCTTTCAGCGTCCACTGGGATTTCTCCCCTTCCAGATAACGTGCTGTTGCTCCCACACGCCGAAAAAAAGAAACAGAGAAAACTCCCTCAAAACAATCCAGAGAATGGCACACACTGAGCCGCGCATTCTCCACCAAATCTGTCGGGGATTAAGCAGACAGAGACGGATCGTGGTGTGCCAAACTCTGGAAGTTTATTTAAGTTTCTCTCAAGTTCCACTGGTTTCCTCTGTTTCTTTCTCTCAGACAGAATAAAGGCAGTACACAGTTTATATAGTCATTGTCACGTCACACATCGAAAGACATACGTGTCACAAAGAGACAGTCACATCATAGTCATAACATGGAGTCCTTGTAGAGTCCTTGTACAGTCCTGCACGTAGGCCATATTGCTATCTAATACTAATAATGGCTCGCTACCCCAGTCTGAGGCTGCTGCACTGGGGTCAAAGAAGGGGAACAGGCCAACATGGCTGGTGGACCGCTCTTTCGCCTGAGGACTGCTTCCTTTAGGAGCGTTTTCCTCGTAGTGGACTTGGATCCTCGAGCAGTAGAGTACGCTGCAGTGTCCAGGGATTCTGCTGAGGGGGCCGGGATGTCAGTGGAGAGGGCTGCATAGCGGTTTGCCAGACTCAGGACATGGGCCACGGCGCAGGATGGCTCCTCGGAATCCGCGGGCTCGTTATTCGGAACCGGGCGCTTAGGTGTAGAACAGGAGGGTCCGGAGCTGACGGATCTCTCCCACACGACAGTGTCACAATATGCAGCGCTCAGTGACATAAGCCGTGAATGCTGCCCACCAGCGACTTCAAAAAGTTTGGACACTAGAGATTGTTTCTCATTCAACTCTGCGGTGAGACGAAGGACTTCTTTTCGTAGTTCTGCAATGGTGGCACGGTCGCTCTCACGGAGCTCCAAGGTGAGGCGACTAATATTGTGCATGTTTGAGCCAATTTCATTGTCACTTTCCATGTCCTCGTTAGCTTGTGTTAGCCTCTGTGCTACTAGTGGGTTTCAGTCGGGACTAAGCGCTATTTGCTGAAACCACTGAATTAATAAGATAAAACACTCAGATATATTAAAAAACTGAACAATAAAAACGCGCTAAAAAGTTGTTAAAAGTTTACTAAAAAGGTGCATAGAGCACAGAGCAGCCCTGCAGTACTGCTTATTAGTTCAGTCTTGGACTTCCTTTGTGGTCAAATTTTGAATCATGCTACAAAAACACACCAGACTCACTCTAATGTGGATGAAGTGTCTTGCCTAAGGACACAACTACAGTTTGGCACTTTACAGCCGCCCCAGTTCTATCAGTTATTGTAGAGTGAAATGTGTGGTTTCAGCAGAAGCGACCTCACTATTACAGTTTTTGAATGCTCTCAACATTTTCATGTTATTTAACCCCTGGCACAAATCTGGTGTTTAGTTAACAGTACCATATGCTTGGGCCGATTCCAAGGTATGGGGGGTAGGAACCATCAGCACGTCTGAACGCCAACTGATTTCCAAATCCTGAAAGTAAGTAATCATTAAAGAACATTTCACACAAGGTTCACACAAACGCTTCTGTGTGTTTGGAGTAGAGAACATTTACATTCACTGTTGCGTTGAAGCCTCGGACCATCACCGTCCACTCATCATTACATTCATACCTATTGTACCTGTTTTAGTGGTAAGTTTCCCCCGGAGCACCTGGAGGAAACTTACACAGACACGGGAGAACATACAAACTCCACACAGAAATGCCTGGAGGTGGTATCAAACCCAGGGTAGAGCTGACCTATAATATTACTGACTAATAACAAACATGTTAGCCTCATGTCAGTTGCGTAGCTTGTGTTCAATCATCTTACGCCTGTTACGGCACGAAGCTAACGCCGTTGGAACAAATGTCCATATAAGGAAATGGTGTGACATCACACTCAGTCAGTCCACTTCTGATATGCATTCTAAGGCCTAGTGATGAAAAATGAGTCAAATATTGCTCAAATCTAGCACATTTTGACAATCCTTAAAGCAAGATTTTCCAATGGGTCAATCTTGTTTTTAAAAGATACAAGAACATAAAGCAACAGTTCTAGAAATAAGACTAAATGATTCAAGCATTAACTGTAATACCTCATACAGTACGTTTTACTTTTTTGTAGTGTAGTGTGTTAAAGACCTTGGTATTTCTTTTACCTGTCATTATGTATTGGTCAGCATCCACCTTGCGCTGCACCCCTACTGATTCCCAGCCGTTGGTTTGATCCAGATAAAGAGAGGAAATGAGAGGGAAAGTGACAGCTGCCAAGTTCTGCTCTACACAACCACTGGGCATTTTTATCAAACTATTCAGAGGGTCGTCATGGATGGCGTTCTCAATGGTTTCGGACAATATGTTTCCTGCAGAAGACACAAAATGTTAGTCTCCATCGCTAACAGGGGACACAACCCCATTCTGCTCTCTATGAGGACGACGCTCTGCAAAACATACAAGAATAAACATTGAAGAACTAAATTAAGCAAAGGCAGTGTAAAACAATGGTTTTGAGAAGTTCTGTAGTGAGTCGGAGTTTCTGATGGGTTGTGGGAGTGAGTTGCAGAGAGTGGGGGCAGCTGCTGGTGCAGGCTCGGTCCTCAGGGTTCAGAAGGCTCGGTCCTCAAGGTTCAGAAGGCTCGGTCCTCAAGGTTCCAGAAGGCTCGGTCCTCAGGGTTCAGAAGGCTCGGTCCTCAGGGTTCAGAAGGCTCGGTCCTCAAGGTTCAGAAGGCTCGGTCCTCAGGGTTCAGAAGGCTCGGTCCTCAGGGTTCAGAAGGCTGGGTCCTCAGGGTTCAGAAGGCTCTGTCCTCAAGGTTCAGAAGGCTCGGTCCTCAAGGTTCCAGAAGGCTCGGTCCTCAGGATTCAGAAGGCTCGGTCCTCAGGGTTCAGAAGGCTCGGTCCTCAAGGTTCAGAAGGCTCGGTCCTCAGGGTTCAGAAGGCTCGGTCCTCAGGGTTCAGAAGGCTCGGTCCTCAGGGTTCAGAAGGCTCGATCCTCAGGGTTCAGAAGGCTCGGTCCTCAGGGTTCAGAAGGCTCGATCCTCAGGGTTCAGAAGGCTCGGTCCTCAGGGTTCAGAAGGCTCGGTCCTCAGGGTTCAGAAGGCTCGGTCCTCAAGGTTCAGAAGGCTCGGTCCTCAAGGTTCAGAAGGCTCGGTCCTCAAGGTTCAGAAGGCTCGGTCCTCAGGGTTCAGAAGGCTCGGTCCTCAAGATTCAGACGGCTCGGTCCTCAAGGTTCAGAAGGCTCGGTCCTCAAGGTGCAGAAGGCTCGGTCCTCAGGGTTCAGAAGGCTCGGTCCTCAAGGTTCAGAAGGCTCGGTCCTCAAGGTGCAGAAGGCTCGGTCCTCAGGGTTCAGAAGGCTCGGTCCTCAGGGTTCAGAAGGCTCGGTCCTCAGGGTTCAGAAGGCTCGGTCCTCAAGGTTCAGAAGGCTCGGTCCTCAAGGTTCAGAAGGCTCGGTCCTCAGGGTTCAGAAGGCTCGGTCCTCAGGGTTCAGAAGGCTCGGTCCTCAGGGTTCAGAAGGCTCGGTCCTCAGGGTTCAGAAGGCTCGGTCCTCAGGGTTCAGAAGGCTCGGTCCTCAGGATTCAGAAGTCTCGGTCCTCAAGGTTCTGAGGGCTCGGTCCACAGGGTTCAGAAGGCTCGGTCTTCAGGGTTCAGAAGGCTCGGTCCTCAGGGTTCAATTAGGTAAGGCGAGGCCAGGTTATGGAGGAGGACTTTTAGGTGAGGAGAAGGACCTTGTGTTGGATACGTTATGAGACAAGCTGCCAGTGGAGTTGTTTGAGGATGGGGGTGATGTGGTCTCTGGAGCCGGTGTGGGCGGCAGAGTTCTGGATGTATTGTAGCTTTTGAAGATGTGGTAAGAACAACATCATTGAGATCTGTCTTAACATTTACCTGTCAACTTGATCTTTGTTACTGGCTGAGACTTGAGCACCACTCCCTTCAGCTCCGGTTTACTCGTCTGAATGACCTGCTTACCTGTGGACGAAACGCAGCTGTTGATGTTAGTCAGAATTTGGTTTTCTACGGTTCTTATTCATGGTTACTGTGTGTCCATCACCTCCAGCAGGGTTTAAGGGGATGGATATTTTCTCAGTCTTCTGCACTCCCTCGACCTGTTCAAGACCAAAAATCAAGACTGACTAGCAGCTCAATGACTAGTATTCAGACATTGTACCTAACCCCTGTTCACAGATGTTTTACATAGGCAGAGGCACAGGACTAAATTCAGCCAAATGGTGGCGTCCATCAGAGGCACAAAATTATGGAACACTTTACCGGAACACTTACGAAACTGTGGGACCTAGCTAACATTTAAAGGAGTCCTGAAACATTGGTTAAAATCAAACCAGTCATGTTCCCATAGATGAAGATCTGCTCTTCCTTTGACTTTCTCTTTCTCTTCTTATTTAAATTCTTTGTTGTTCTTGTCGACTTATTGTTTGTACTTTTACCTTATTGTGTGTTTGTATGTTTCTTACCTGCCTGAGGACAATGGATGCAATTTAGCTTTAATACAGCTGCAGTGATTTTGGAACCTGTTGTAGTTGTTCCCGCTGTCATTCACAAACCCATAGACCTTATATAGATGAACTGATATGGATTGCAGATTGATTGCTAACTTTCTAGCTCAATGAACCCCAACAGGGTCATGGATGAAGTTTTGCGCTAAATCTCTTTCTCCTAGTGACTCACATTTAAAGGAAAATACTCCTCTAGCTCAGCCACCGCTTGTTTCTGTCACACAACATTTTGGGCTTAAAAATCCTGCTGTGTTTATATTGTAATATTGTCTTGGTAAATCCAGATATGATTAAAGGTATTCAGTCATGGACATTGGTCTCAGCCCCTTATGGACCAATGGCCTTATGTGTTTTTCAGCATTGCATTTCCTGTGTTAAACGGTTTCATTCTCTGATCTGTTGATGGCTAATCGACAACTTTGTAAAGTCCTCAGAGATAACTGTTGTTGTGATTCAGGGCTAATTAATGCAGTTCATTTATCAACCACTGTATTTCATGATGGCGCATTGACACAGAGAGTCCCCAGCAGGGCTGGACTGGGACAAAAAAACGGCCCAGGCATTTTTTCCTTTTTAGCGGCCCAGGCAACTCAAAAGGTTCAAGGAGCCATATTTGACAAAAAAAAAAACAGCGTTGTATAAGGCTTATATGAAGGTAACAGGGGCTGAAGCTGTATTAGCTACCTTAGCTACATTAGCTATATTAGACTAATATCTAAATGACAAAGTAAAGGCTACAAACACATAAAAACATTATCAAATGTGTATTTTCATTGCAGCGTGTCCTGGAGAGAATGACGCACCACTGCTTACCTCTGCTTAAAGTTTAACTTCCATTTTTTTGCCTTCATGCAATTGTACAAATACAGTAAATAAATCTGCTTTTTGGCTCCGAGTTCACCTGCATCACTGTCTGTTCATATCCATCACAGGCTGAAGTTTGCTGGAGCTGAATGTCCTTAATGGCCTTTTCTTTCACCGTCTTAGCGAAGGTATTTGAAGTCTGAAAATAGGTGCTCTGACTTTATGATGAATTAATCCTTCAGTGAACGGTGTTTAAAGCTTCTTTGTTCCTCCTGTTGCAACACCACTTTTCATTACAAACATGAAGCAGTCCTTCCTCACTGACTGAAAGCAAATGTTCATTCTCATTCTTAGTCCAGTCTTATCGACTCTCTCTCTTTATCTCTGGGATCCATGCGCACACACAGTCTATGATGCACACACGCCGGTTTGTTTACAGCAGTGGCCGCCTGGCACGGGCCGCGTCACAGGATATGACGCACTACGTTGACAGAAATGCTAAAATTGATTATTACTTATACAAGTTTTTGCAGCATTGAAAAACGTTAAGAATGTTTTTCCTCCTACAAAAACCACATTGAAACTAGAAATAAAATAGAGCCCTCACACTCCATTTTCAGACATTTTTGAAAAGGCTCCAGGAGCCACTTTAGGGGCACTAAAGGTTGCCGACCCCTGGTTTATACAGTATGTGGAAGCAAATACTGTAGAGGATCAGGATGTCTGCAGTTTCAACAATAAAATAAAGTACAATAGTCTACATTAAACAGAGTAATAAACATGTCTCAGAGTGAGGGAGGTGGACACAGACAACACTGTTGTTTGTTACAGGGATGAGAATTGGTAAACATTTCTGAAATGCATATTGTCAGCCATTAGCTGGCTCTAAATCTGTTTAATCTGTTCACAAAATTTTACTTTTGGGCTCAAACATGAACTTTTAATGCAATGGAAAATTTAGGTACCCGAGCTTTAATTTAGAGGAGAGGGGAGACGCGGACTGTTTTCTGCAGCGGTGTATTTATTGGGTGCACTGCACAAATTACGCAAAGACATGCATGGTCCTGTGCACGTTTATGGTCTTGGGTAAATGGTCACGTTGCGGCTACGCGCTCACCGTGTTGTGTTGTGAGCGGTTCCTGCGTCCAGCTCAGAGCCGCTGGATGCGGGAACACTGCGGCCGCTGAGGTGGTAGAATCCCATTCGAGTACATACAGCAGGTGCCCCGCGGACACGCGCGCGCCCCTCAAACATTTCTCAACGGATTTACACTTTTCACAAACATGTGTTTTGTATGAGGGAGACAGACCGGCCCAAATATGGGCATCGGCCCTTCGGGCATTGCCCGGTACGCCCGATGGCCAGTCCAGCCCTGGTCCCCAGCCTCATGGACATTTATAAGTCAAATTCTAAACCTATGACAACAATTCAAAAACATGGTAAATATTCTCTTTCAGTCACTTTTGTGATTGGTTAACATGTTTTTACATTTGGAGCAACTTCAAAAATTACACAGAGTGCCTTTAAACACTTTGAGTTGCCTTATGTATGTACTGCGCTATACAAATAAACTTGCCTTGCCTTGTCGAATGTGGCTCACTAGGCCTATCTCTTTGCTGGCTAAGCTTAACTAATTAGGATGTAAGAACGGTGACAGAAAGCAAGGGATTTGGATTTCTGCAAACCGGTTAAACTGTACTTTTTTACCATTTTAAGACAGGCTCCTTAGTCTGTCATAAAAATATATATTAACATAGTAAAACCTACTTTAATGAACTATGTCTTGTGGTTATACTGTGAGACACACGCACAATACTTACCACAACATTAAGATTCTTCTGGATACGATCTCTGCCCATGTTCATGACATAAGCTGAGACAACAATTGGTAATTCTCCCGCTATCAGAGGCACGATGGTGAAGGGCACGACCGTGGATCCCATGGACATCACGTTCACCTTCTGTGTGTACTTTTTATTGAAGGCCCTGCTGCACATATTTATTGTCTTATCCAAAACCACAGTCACCTGAGAACCAGGTAAAAAAATCAGTGTTAACACCACAATTCCTAAAGCAGTCAAACTTCTATACAAGGCTCCATCTAATTGGATTAGATCACCCACATCCATACAATCCTAAACCTCATTTTAAAATATGATGGAAAAATTAACGTTGTCAAGGGGTCGCAGTATAGCATCATCATCTAAAGGGATAACATTTGAAAAAGGAAAGACTATATACTGTATGAGTTTGCTTACATCCAATTCCTCATCCATAAAGTTGTACACCACTGCTTTAATTTCCACCTGCTCGTTTCTTGCGACAGAAAATGGCAACTTCAGATCCACGAAGAATTTAGTCTTCACATCAAACGTCCACGGCTCAGCCACACAAACTCCTGCAAAGACAGCCTTTTGCATCACACACAGACCAGTATTGTTTGGTTCCAGGGATGGCTGGGTGGACTAGGTGGGTTGGACCTTTGTTTTAATATTATGTGTATTATTATTATTGTCATATATTGTATTTTTGTTTTAACTATTCCCACTCCTTTTCGAGCTGGATACTGTAAATTTGTATGTATTTTTAACCTTTTAACCTTTAACATGTTTGCACACGTCTGTCTTTTGCACAAAATGATTCTATCTATGCCAAATGTGACAAGTACATTTCTCCAGTGTGTGATCAATCTTATCTTATGATGATTATGTATTGTTTATTTTTCCATTTGGTTGTTGTTTTGTTTTGTTGTTCTTGTTCTCATTTGCCATGGCTCAAAATAAAAACACTAAATAATAAATTCATTAATTTCTATTCATCTGATGCTTTGCTAAAAAACTAAAATGTATCACAGAGAATATCACACATGGCTTTGTAGTGTAGTGATTGACAGATAGCCCTAGCCCTAACGTTACAAGAAATATACTCATATTCCTCCCTTTTCGATGACTCGATTGAATTTTAAATCTGGAGACAGCAAAAGTTAATATATTTTAGCAGATATAATTGTACATCATGAATAACCCACTTTAACCCAAAAAGTCATTTAATATCCCCACCTTGAATTTACATTACCAGCCGCCACGGATTGGTTTGTTCTTACCAGTTTTCTTTGAGGAGCTCACAGCGAGGACAGACCACTGGGTAATGGTGTCTGGTAGTGCCTCTGGATTAAACAGTGCAGTGGCTGTTCTGTAAACCAAACACATGATATGATCTTAGTTATATTTAAAAATGTCTCGATTGTCTTAAGTATACCATTGTCTAATGTTGTGCAACTGGTTCAAGGCCACTGGGTTTTTTTTTCAAGACTTGGAAAACCCATGCTGTGCGCTCGAAACATCTCGAACTGAGATGAAACTCGAGCTGTAATGTTGACATGGATTTGGGGACCAATCACAGAACGGGGAAGAACGACAAGCGATGACGTACTATTGCAGGGGTTCACAAGTTTTTCTAACACAATTTAACACGTAGTCCTATTGAAGCAAATCAATTGAAACAAAAGTATTTAAGGGGTATATATTTACTTTTTAATTTAAATCATCTTGCGACTTTGGGAACCACTGTACTATCTGACAGATAGACACTTGTAGCTTGTTTACAGATCCAACATGACAGCTGGAAAAACATGACGCTATGTTCCCTCATGTTTAACAGGCACAAACGGCAGTAATCAGTCGGCAATCAATGTGAAGGAGCAGTGGCTCTACTCTGAGTTCCTCCCATGTGACTGAGCTTCTCACTTTATCTCCAAGAGCCAGCCACTCTGTAGAGGAAATTAATTTGAAGTTCACTTGGACATTTTGTCCTTTCAGTCATTGCCTTAAGCAGTGGTTTCAACTAGTGTGCCGTTGGTGTGCCTTGGAAATAGTCCAATATCACCTGTTTGGTCAAATTCAGGTGAAAATAAAATAATGTGAAATCATTCGAAAGATTGTTTTATTTGTTATATACTGTGCTACACATTGATGAGAATGAATTTGCCTTGTTAATAAAGGCTGTAGAGTTTCACCAAATGCAGTTGGTGGTGTGCCATATGATTCTTTGCAATGAGAAAGGTTGAATGCCTAAAGCTCATGACCATAAGTCAGAGGTGGGATTGTAGCCTGGCCGGTAAATTCAGAGCTTTGCCTTTCGACTCAGCTCCCTCTTGAGCAACTGTCTGGTACTGCTCTAAATGAAGACACTGCCTCCTCTTCACAACTGTCAGATACAGCTCTGACAGCAGACACTGCTCCATCTTCACAACAACTGTCTGATAGAGCGACCGCATCACTGCACACGCTGCATCGATCCATCGCTCCATTCTTCTCTCACTGTGAACGAGACCTGAGATACTTGAACTCCCCACCTGGAGAGGACCAGGACTTGGACAGGACCAGGACCTGCAGAGGACCAGGACCTGGAGAGGACCAGGAGAGGACCAGGGCCCCGACTGCAAACTGTCCCTGTGCTGAAGGTCCTGGTTAGTTGGAGCCAACAGGATGACATCATCTGCAAACAGCAGAGGTGGATCCTGTGGTCTCCAAACCAGACCCCCTCTGGCCTCCGGCTGCGCCAAGAAATTCTGTCCATAAAGAACAGAAGCGGTCACAAAGGGAAGCCTTGGCGAAAGCTAACACCAGGAACTAGTCTGACTTTCTGCCGGCAAACACAGCTCTGGCTCGAACATATAGGGACTGGACGGCCCTCAGCAGATAGCGATAGATCTAAATTGCTTCTGGGGAAGGCAATGTCCAGGGTGCCACAACTACTGCACAACAAACCAGACTAAAAAGAAGCTTGTTCCAGAGTCTCCGCGCTGGTCTCTCCCAAGGATCTATTACAGGACCACGCTGGTCTCTCCAGTCTATGGTCTCTCCTGTCCATGGTCTCTCCAGTCTATGTCTTCCCTCGGCTCTGCATTGGTCTCAGCACCGGTCCGAGCTGGAGCTCCTCCCAGGGTCCGAAATATTGTAAGATTAATCTAAAAAATTTTTGAGATTCATTTCAAAATAATTTGAGATTATCATTTTAATTAGTACATAATATTTTGAGATTAATATTTAAAGTAGTACATAATATATTTAAATTAATCTCATAATATTTTTAGATTAATGTCATAATTTTGCTAGTTCGACTTTATTCTCATAATGTTTCAACATTAAAGTCAAAATGTTATGACTTTAATCTCAGTGGCAAAAGAAGAAGAAAGGGGTGACTCTTTTGCTCCGCGTAACTCTTTGCTTTAGCATGTTGCCGTTTCCTCTGGCGTCTGCACACGGCCCTGCAGTCCCTTATATGGGCATTATTGGGCGGTTACCTATGCTAAGTACCTATGCTAATGAATTACCTGGCACGCGCGCTCTACTTACGAGGAGTAGTAGTAGTAGTAATCTTTATTTATATACCACCTTTTCACTGCAGATCAGAGTCTCAAAGCGGTTTACAATTGTTATTTTTTGGGCAGGGGCGCCAGTACAGGAGGCGCATGCCAGATCAATTAGGCATGTTTTTAGTGGTAGGGGAAACCGGAGTACCCGGAGGAAACCTACGCAGACACGGGGAGAACATGCAAACTCCACTCAGAAAGGCCCTGGTCCAACCGGGATTTGAACCCAGAACCTTCTTGCTGAGAGGCAAGAGTGCTATCCACTCAGCCACCGTACCGCCCCACGGCATTCATCAATCTGAGAGAACAGCTGCGAACAATTCAGCGGTTTACGAGTGCGTTGATGAATCCCACGTTGGGTCTTCTTAGAAATCTACTCAAGAACGACTTGAGAAGAAATTAAGGAAAATTCTTAAGAAGATATTGGTGAATGAGGCCTAAAGTTCAGTCTGTTTTTGATGAGAGAACCCTCATAAAGATTTTGCCAAGTGTATGAGGAACTCAATTTGCTCCTCAGCGAAACTACGAACAAAAGTTCAATTTAAGCAATTAATTTAATTTCCAGCACACATAATAATTAAGTGTAGTTTTGTGCCTCACGTACCCATCATGGTCGGCTATCGCAGGCAACTCAACATCCCCCCAAAGCCACGTGTCTTTGAACTTGTGACGCAGTTGGATGTCATTTTCGTCTACCTCTTCCTCATCATCATCATAATCACCGCCGTCCCCACCGCGAAGAGCATCGCTGTCCTCACGATCTGTCAAAAGTGAACATTGTATGACTTTCAAGTTACTGTGGAGCTATTACAAAAGACAATTGTAAACCGACATTTGGGTCTTAAACTCAGAAACCTACATTAATAAAAGTAACTATTTCACTTTAGTAGCAGACTGGAAACTATAACCCATTTAAAACATTTTTTTTTTTGAGTGAGTAGTGTGTAGCCCCACCCACATAAGTGTAATAGCACGTAGATGATAAAGACTCCATCCATCTGTCCATTTTCTTTCTTTGTTTAGTTTTTTTAAATCTGTGAACATTGAAGTGAAAAGGACTTTCCATTTAGCCAAAATGTATGTTTTAATTCAAGTCTCTTATAACGAGTCACAAATGTATTAGAACTATTCAGTGAAACATTGTAGTTCAGGGGCGTCCAAACTTTTTAAACTGAGAAACAAGTTAATATTTACTGAACACACAATCCGCAGTGAGTACAGCTGCACATTTATTAACATTTATGCACAGTGGCCTCCCGCTCCCTATGGACCAATGGCTCCTATGTGTTTGTTATTATTGCACTTCCTGTTTTCAAACTGTTTGATTCTCTGATCTGTTGTTGGCAATCGACAGCTTTGTAAAGTCCTCAGAGATGACAAATAAAGTAATAATTGAAACTTTGCACAAAATTAAACTAAAAAGTGGAACATTCTGAAGATTTTTTTATGTAAAACACACACCGGCCATCATTTCTAAGAATAATTCTGTTGATGTAAAGTTCATACTTGACACATCGTAGGTGGCTCCCATGCCGCTGCTTCGTTCCAGACCACCTTCCAGGATGAAGGTTTGGTTTCTTTGGAAGAAGCAACATTGGAGGAAAGCTTTGACGCAGTGAATTCCCTCCGTGATGTAGCTCGCCCGCTGCTCACAGGAGAACGGCATCCGCACCCGCTTCAGGCTGTCTCTGCAGCAGTGCGAGAGGTGTTTTGCCTCAAATTGCCTCACTGGAAGTATTAGCAATAATCAGTTCTCACGTACTTTGATTATGGGCAGAAGTCTTATCAAAATGGAACAATAATAATAATAATAATAATAATGCATCAGTTTTATATAGCGCTTTTCAAGAACTCAAAGACGCTTCACAAATTCATGACACAAGCACACACGTTTAGACAGACACACAAACTAAAAATCTAAGAGTGAGGAAGAAGGGTAGAGAGTTTAAACTAAGAGTCAAATGCTCGGAGGAAAAGGTGAGTTTTGAGCTGTTTTTTGAAGGAGTTTAGAGAGTCCGAGTTTCTGAGATGGAGGGGGAGGGAGTTCCAGAGAGTGGGAGCAGAGATGGCGAAAGCTCGGTCCCCCAAGGTTCGGAACAATGCTTTCTTCTTACTTTATTTTATCTGATTTCTGTTTCACGTGAAAAGTTATAATTCAGCTTGTTTAATTTATGTCCTTGTCTTTTTGCACATGTTTTCCAATGGGGTTTTACTTCAAATGGCAAGTATGGATCAACAGCTTCAGTCCTGGATCTACAGACTGAGTCCTGGATCTACAGCCTCAGTCCTGGATCTACAGCCTCAGTCCTGGATCTACAGCCTCAGTCCAGGATCTACAGCCTCAGTCCTGGATCTACACCCTGTCGGTCCGTGGGAGCGGATCCCTCTCTCAATATGTGCATCCCTGAGGTTTTTTTTTTTGATGATCCAGTACATTTAAGGACATTTTCGGACATCACTTCATGATCAGCACTTCCCATGGACTAATGGCTTCTATGGGTTAAATGCATTTGCTGTGCCGCTCTTGCTGTGATTTAGGGCTGTTTACACAAATAAATTGAATTGATTATTGTTTAAACGCCTCTTCTGGCCACTTCGGAAGTCTCCTTCCCCCAGATCTCAATGACGTGTGTTGCCTGTCAACTTCTTGGATTAGTGTCTTTTTTGGTAGTTGTAGATGTCTACCAGTATCACTGATAATAGCGTATACTTCTCAAAGGACTTTAGCTTAATTTTACAATAATTTGTGGTTCGTAAATGTGGTGTTTATTGTCTCACATATTTCAGAAGAGCGCCTCCTCCGAACACTGTTTGGACAATTAAAGTCTGTTGAGAAAAAACACATCATTATTGGACAAAAGAACCATAACCTACACCTAGCCAATGTAATATAATGTACATAATACACAATGTAATCATAATAACTATAATGTAGGCACAAATTTGATAGCGTTTGATTTACACCAGGCACTCATTCTACGCTCAACCTGTCTTTCCCTCAGAGGTTAGCCACGATATGCCGAGCAACTGTAGACAGTGGCACCAGAACACAACACCCTCTCACTGGAAATAGTATACAACATGTGGAAATTGATTTGAGAACAGAATTAGAATTATAAGACTATGCTTCCATAGAAAGCCACCAGGACACAGGTCCTTCACCTCACCAGTTACCATTGTAGCTTCCTCTCCCAACGACTAAAGGTATGTTTATATCAAAATGTAAGTACTACGGTCTGGATTTGCTCCATTGAGCTCCGTTAACAGGTGGGAGGGGTTAACTCCTTTTGCAGATTGAAAGGATTGGATCTGAGTTTACCCAATCACTGGTGCCTCCCCCGTTCGCTGAATGGTCGGAGGGGATACAACCGAGGAAACTGCAGCCACAAAGATCAGACCCAGACGTACAAGTTGGAAATGATAATTTGATCTGATCTAAGATAAGATAGGATCAACCTTTATTCATCCCAATGTGGGGTAATTTCAATCTTTTTTTTTTTTTTTTTTTTTACTTTATTTTTATAATTTTTCAAAAATAAGTAGACAAAATACCATAGCCAATATACAAAAACATACACAAACATAAACAAAAGAAACAAACACAAAAAAAACAACAAACACAAAAACAGTAATAAAATAACAAGGAGGAACAAGTTCAAGTCGTCAGAAGATATACACAACACAAATAATGTAAATGACATAAATGGCCTTTACATCAGATCGGCCCCAATTCCACATCGTACCATACCCGTCTATTTGGTTGAGACAGTGCATGCCCATGCACTAACAGGGGACTCACACATGCAGGCACACCGCACCAGACACCACATATCTATTGTCCCTCACCAGCATCCCAAAACACACTCCCACTCCTTTTGGCCCACTGCACATGCTCTACCCGTATACTTGAATAAGTATCCACACACTTCATTATTATTATCTATTTTCCATTTGTTTAAATCCATTATCACTTCAATCCCACACAATATACACCTACAACACTTTCCTAGGTTCAGCGACAGGCTTTTTTTTTATTTTTATTTTTTTATTGATCCCCCTTAGTAGAAATTAGTCCCAACGTACAATCAACCTCCGCTGCACAGTCACAGTTAACCACTGATTCACAATATTTATGTGCTGTCCATTTCTTTTATAAACCATTTTTTGTCAAACTCATGGTCCATGTTCCTTATTTTGTGAGTTAACTTCTCGTTCAATTTTACTTCTTGTCTTCTATTAATCCATTTTTTTATATCCAGTGGATCACTTTTTTCCACTCCTTTGTTATAATCTTTAATGCTGTGATTCTAAGAATTTGAAAAAATATACTTTTCATCTGAGTATATTCATTGGGATTTTTCCTAATATAATATTTTCTGATTTTAAATCAAGTTTCTTTCCCAGTATCGCTTCAACAATTTGAAATACTTCTTTCCAGTAGGGTTGTATTATTTTACAGGTATAAAAAATATGTGTGTAATTTGCAATTTCTTCTCCACAATTCCTCCAACATTTGCAATTTCCCCCTTTATATTTACTCATACTTTCTGGAGTCAAGAAGTATCTCATAATTATTTTCCAAGCAAACTCTCTCCAAAATAAGGAACCCATGGATTTATGGACTCCAGCACAAATCTGTTCCCACTCGCTTTCGGTTATTTGTATATGAAACTCTTCTTCCCATTTTACCTTAACGTTGGTTGCCATTTTCTCTTTTTGTTGCAGAAAAATTTGGTATAACTGACTCATAGCATTTTTTAATTTCTTATTCCAAACTGTTAACCACGCTAAAGTGATATGGGATCGAGATTGTAAGAAAAGCGGAATCCTCGGAGGTCACCTAAACATAAAGAGTCTCCTCTCAAAGCGCGAACAAATTGAACACTTGCTGACTGACTCAAACCTGGATTTTCTGGCACTGAGTGAAACATGGCTAAATTCTAACATCACGACTCAAATGATTGATATCCCAGAATATGTTTGCTTCCGTAAGGACAGACAAACAGGAAAAGGAGGAGGTGTTTTAATATATGCCAAGAAAACACTGACATGCACTGAAATTAATGTGAACGTTTGTAACCTAATGTCTAGTTTTAAACATTGTTTTATCATCAAGAATGAATTTTAAGGTTGTTATCCTATATAACCCACCGTCTTTTAATGCATCCTTTTATTGTAATCTGGATGAAATGCTTAAACAGTTAAAATGTGATGGTGAAATCATTGTGCTTGGAGACTTCAATATTAATTGGCTGTATAAACATGGTAAACGTCCTCGACAATGCTCCATTTACTTTTACAGCTGCTCGCTGCTTATACATCACTCTCAGAGCATTTATAAAATAATCATGGAAACCAAAAGCTTTACAAATGTCAAAAATAAAATCCCAAGATAACCGATCGAAGGCCTTTTCAGCATCTAATGTCAGCATTAGAGCCTGCTGCCTATGTTTCTCTGCCCAGTCTACCAAATTCATAATCCTCCTCACATTGTCTGACAACAATCTTCCCTGCACAAAACCGGTTTGATCTTTATTTATCAAATGCGGAACTATTATCGATAGTCTGTTAGCCATAATAGATGTAAATATTTTTTGGTCCACATTTAATAAAGACACTGGTCTGTATGAACTACATTTAGTTAAGTCTTTGCCTTCTTTTGGAAGAACACTAATTATTGAATCGTTCCATGTGGGGGGCCAAACAGCTTTTACGATTATCCAGTTAAACAACCTACATAGAATTGGTACTAGTAATTGGTTAAAATATTTGTAAAATTCATTAGTGTATCCGTCACTTCCTGGACTCTTATCCACCTTGCTCTTCTGTACAGTATAGCAGCCAGGACTTCTTGTTCAGTCACTGGTTTTATAAGTTCTGCGTTTTGTTCTGAGGTTACCTGCTGTAAATTTAGTGACTTCAAATATTGACTGCTTTCACTACTTCTACATCCTGTTTCTTCATATAGCTCGTTATAGTACTTGAGGAAACATTCTGTGATTTCATTTTTCTCTGTATGATAGTTAGAAGCATTTCCTAGAATTTTTGAAATGGTTGTTTTTTCATATTAAATGCTAAAAGTTTTAAAGCTTTAGGACTGTTATCATAAAATTGTTGTTTGGTAAGTGCAAGAGATTTGACTATTTCTTCTGTCAAAATGTCATTCAATTTATTTTGTTTTTCAATTAACTTTTTCTTAATTTGATAGTTTCCTGTCTGTTCATGCTCCTGTTGCAATCGTTCTATTTCACTTTTTACAGCATTCATCTCTTGCATATACATTTTCTTTCTCCAAGAAGTGAGGGATATTATTTCACCACGTATGGTAACTTTTGCGGCTTCCCACAGTATAACTGGTGTAATCTCCTCTTTGTCATTATTTTGAAAGAAAGCTTCTATAATTTGTTGAATTCTGTCTTTAAAATGTTCGTCCTGGAGTAAAGAATTATTCAATCTCCATAGTGTTCTTCCTTTCCCATTTCCCAAAGAAATGGTTAACGTAATTGGAGCATGGTCCCCCAGTATTATGGGTCTTATTTCACACTTCTTAATTTTTGTGATGTCTTCCTTAAACATAAAAAAATAATCCAACCGGGAATAAATCTTATGTGCATCGGAATAGAAGGTATATTTTCTTTCATGGGGATTAAGATGCCTCCATATATCGGTCAAACCCAATTCCTTTTCTATCTTTTTTAATAATGTAGCGGTTTTTTCAGCTTTGTGTTTCCCTTTACTTTGAGTATCTTTAGTAGACATTGCCATATTAAAATCCCCTCCCATGATTGCTAACCCTTTTGCTTCTGTAATTAGTAATGAAACCATTCTCCTCATGAACTCAGAATCGTGTCCAGGTGTATTATAAATGTTTAACAAAGACATCGCCTTACCATCTACCTTTCCCACTACTAACACATACCTGCCCTCTTTATCTTTAACACATTTTTCAAGTTCAAACGGAATACGTTTTGGTATTATAAGCTACTCCTCTTCTGGCTGTGCCATAAGACGATGCAAAGACCTGGGCTGATGCCAGTTTACCAAGTTTCTCATGCTCTATTTTATTTAAATGCGTTTCTTGCAACAATATTATATCCCCCTCTCGTTTCAGAGTTTGCAAAACTCTTTTCCTTTTAATACAGTTATTAAGGCCGTTTATATTTTGTGATACAATTTTTATCTCATTCATGATCACTTATATTTTCTTTTCTATGAGACAAAACTAATACACTACACAACCATACAATACGACTTAATTTATATTCCTCCTCAGAAAAAAAGTAAATTAGAAAAACAAAAATTACTTCCAATTGGTCCATCATTCTCAAAGATGGTCTTTGTGGATTTTCATGCATTACTTTTTGCATGATTTCCGTGTTCATTCTTGAACACTTTCACTCAAACTACTGGCAGCCCCTAAGTTCCTCTCAAACTCCGAACCTTTTACTTATATCGTGTCTCAATTCAAAAGATATTTAGAGAAAGGCTATATCCCTTGAAAATAAATAGGCCTGGCTACAGAAACACTAAGAAAAATTAGCATCTAAAAGAAAGAGATATGAGAAATGGGAGGGGGAGGAAAAAAAAAAAAAAAAAGAGAAATAAATAAATAAAAAGAGGTCTTGTTCTAAAATAATACTTAAAATAATAATAGTAATAATAAAAAATATATTTAAAATAAAGAGAAAAAAGAACCTTAAACTAAATTAAATATGGAGAGTGGTTCCTGTTTTGTCTTCCTTTTAATTAGTGCTTCAATAATATACAGTAATTCCCGATTGTGCACCCATACTGCTCCATATCAGTCACATAGTCCAACTAAATTTTTATATAAATAAAATTACTCTCCACTCCCCCATAGCACTTTAAATGTCCATACCTTTCGTCTTCTTCTTCCCGTTCGACTCAACCTTCACTCCCATTCCTCACCCTCTCCCATCCCAATAGTTTCAGCTGGTGCACCCATTCTCCTCGGTCCTTAGGCCTAGCGCTTGGGGTGAGGCCATAGGCCTGCTCTGAGTCCTGTGGAGTGTTGAAAATCCTCGTGCCGTTTTCTTCCAACACAAACAGCTTCGCTGGGTATCGGACATGCGCTTTAATACCCTTCTCCTTCAGATGGCTTCGGATGCGCATGAAGCCTTTCCTTTGGGTTTGTAGTTTCGCTGTGAAGTCTTGATCCAGGTAGATGCGTTCTCCGCGGTAGAGCACTTCTTTCTTCCCCCATGCCGCCTTCAGCACCTGTTGCTTGGCCTCCCAAGTCGGGAAGCGAGCGATGATACTTCGTGGCTTGTTCCATGATGCGTCTGCCTTTTTGGTTGCCCCAGAACGGTGCGCTGCCACGATTCCCAGTCGTTCTTTCGGGATTTGCAGAGTTTCATGTAGAAGCGTTTCTACGAAATTTCTCATATTAGCAGGGTCATTATTCTCCTTCACATTGTAGATGCGCACGTTCATCTGCCTCGATTTATTTTCTAGGTACTCAACCCGCTTCTGCATCTCGTCCATATCTTGTGTGAGCGTTTCCATCACTTCCACAAGTATAGTTTCTCTTTCTTCGGCGCAGTTAACCCTTTCCTCCACTGCGGTCGCGCGTTCTTTCATGCCTTTCATTTCAGACTTATGCTGTCCCATTTCTTTCTTTATTTCGTCCATTTCACTCTTTGTTTCTTCTCGGAATTCTCTAAATTCTCCACGGAACTCACGCAGCTCTTGAACGATTTCAGCTGCGGCATCTTTAAACACCTGCTTAAAGCGCTGCTCGTACATATTCGCCAGGCTTTTGTCCTTCTTCTTTCTCTTTCTCTCTTTTTCCGTTTTTTCTGCTACTTTACCAGAGCGAAGATACATTCCTTGTCGCAGTCAAGCATAAGTCTCTTTCATGATTTGTTTTACTTTAAACCATTATTTCTTCAAATTGGTTCAAAGTTTGAGAGGAGCTGCACGCTCACGCGTCCATGCTCTCGTCACCGGAAGTCATCTTCTTGGTTGTGGGGTAATTTCAATCTAATCCCCGTTCTTTGTCGTTTTGGGGAAAATGGAAGAGCAGCAAAAGAGACTGTGGCACAAATAAAGCTTTTCTTATCTTTCATATACACGTCTTTCACTCTTTCCCAATACTGTTTACCCGATGGGACAGAGATGGAAATGAGCCTTTGTCTATAAACTATGTTTACATTCATGTTTCTAAAGTGTCTGTTCATTGACATGCACTTTCCAATTCAAATAAATAAATACATAAAATGTCAGTTACATTGTCGGGCGTCTGTCGAGGGTCCGTCATTTGTTGCAAAGAGCAGTCCAGCGTCACTGAAAACTCCCATCGCGTTCGCTCCGCTTCCGTGAGTGCAGCCCATGTCTCTGCTGTCCACCTCATCCAAGATCTTTTAAAATAACAAATACATGAGCTTTTTAGAGTAATCTTGTTTGCATTGTGCCCAAAAGAGCTAATTACAGGGGATTCCATGTACCCCTAGTGGTCAGCTGTGGAACACACAGCCTCTGAATTGTGGGTCTCCCCGAGGTTTTTCACTTTTTTTCCCACTGGGTTTTTGTGAGTTTTTCCTTGCCAATGCAGGAGGGTCTGTTGGGCAGTTAGTGTCCAACTAGAAGGACTATGGTGATGATCAGGACACTTTAGCATTCTACAACATGTATGAAAAGTTTCTTCTGTGTGTGCTTTATATTTTTCACGTGTTTTAACTGTTGATTCTCTGACCTGTGTTGGTGATTTCAATGGTTTTGTTAAGTCCTCTGAGATGACTTCTGTTTTGATTTAGGGCTAAACAAGAATAAATTGTTGTTGTTGTTGTTAAATTATGGAATCTCTTACTCGTATCAATGCAGAGATTTTATATAAAAAAATGTTGGTGACCTAGTTGTCCTAGCAACAGCTGTGAGCCATTTTAGGAGGATGGAACAGTTTCAATCCCAAATACCAAATACAGACAAAAGAGCACAGGCAAAAACTGTCTGATGAGTGAATTATGATATATTTTTGGGATGTAACATCCGACAAAGATGAGTAAATATGTCCTAAATATGTGTGTGATCGTTGTTAGTTTCATGATGTAATTTATCACTCCTGAAGGAATTAGTCGATGAGACATAATCTATTAAATCGACTAAAGTTTGTAGCTTTATATCTATCTGTTCACAACTACAGGAAAGAACCAAATGATTGTTTTGTCAAAGTTGATAAAAGACTGACGTGTCTTTGGTTGAAGCGCCTCTTGCTGAGCTTGTACACGGCTTGGTCCACTGCCACCAGACTGACGTGTGCCGACGGCTCCCCTTGGACTTTCAGCTTGACAATTTTGCCAGGGCTGAAGTCAGTGCGTTGCGCTGTGCTCACACTCGGCTGAAATGTTGGTTCGGTGCAAGAAAAAGGTTAGAAATTCACCACAGACAAAGTGGAAGAAGAATTTATATATATATATATTATATATATATATATATATATATATATATATATATATATATATATATATATACAGTGCAGTGCTAGGAACAGCAAAGATACTGCGCAGAACCCTCAAGCTCCCAGGCCTCTGGTAGAGGACCCGAGCTCAGAGAGGGATAACCGCCCGCGGAGGGCCAAAGGTGAGTGGACAATTTTATACATATATTGAGTCACTTGCACTAGGACTAAAAAAACCTGCACTACTATTGCCACTGTTCCTTTAATTGCTTTTTATTGTACATAATATATCCTGAACAGACTATATATATCTTTTTGCCTTTAACATTTTTGCACACTTCTGTCTTTTGCATTGTGTCTGTCCTTACATTGTGTCCACCATGTGCACTTGTATATTGTAAATAGTAACTGTAACTCTATTTTAAATTTAAATGTATTGCTTAGAAGTGTTTTTTATTCTTTATTCTTTATTCTTTATTTTTTATTATCTCTTTCTGACTGTTGCACTGAGCCAAAGCAATTTCCAAGTCTGTGACTTCCTGTTACTTACGTGGCAATAAAAATGATTCTGATTCTGATTCTGCACAAATCTGAGTGATTCTATCCATGCCAAATGTGACATGTACATTTCTCCTGTGTGAGATCAATAAAGTCTTACTTATCTTATCTTATATTAACTTAAACCGACAAATCAGATGAACTTTGCAGAAGGAATTACTATAAAAAGTATCTGATTATAACAGTAATTGTAGGTTATGGTTTGCTATGCCTTCATTAGTGCATTTCAGGTATCCAGCTAAAAACAGGCCGTTGCTTTTCTGAAGCTAAGCAGGGCAGGGCAGGGTCAGTACTGTGATGGGAGACTTCTGGGAATACCAGGCGCCACAGCAGCTGCGGCTGAATACACAGCACTTTATACTTGCTTCATATTTTGCCAAATGTAGAGATTTTATACTTGTTTCTTTGATGCTAGAGTTATTTTTCATTTATCTTGTGCTGTGTGCTCTTCTTTACTACTGTTCTGTAACTGATGGTGCAACACTGACATTTCCCCACTGTGGGACGAATATCTCTTAATCTTAGTTTTTAAAGTGCCAAACTGTTGTTAAGTCCTTAAGCAAGACACTTCACCCACATTAGAATGAGTGTGGAGTGTGTCTGAATGGTTGGTGGTGGTGGCTACACTACCTGTGTGTATGGAGTAAATGAATAATGACAGGTCTTTGACTGTCCAAAAAAGAGCTATGAAGTAAAACCAATGCATAATTGTTTTTATATTTAAAAGTTAACGGAGCACTGCAGGAGCGGCTCACCACGAGGACAGAGGAGAAATACATCATTAAAGGGTGTCACGTGTTCTGTATTGCTCTATATTGCTCCATGCAAACATGAGTTCTGTTCAATACTTACTGGTTGGAAACATGTGTTGGGCACCTCCAGCTTGATAGAGTCTGACACCACCTCCCCGTCTAAAATGTAAAATGCCACAAAGCGGAATGTGGGAATCATTTCTGAAGTGACGTCGATTCTCACACTGGTGACCTGTTGTTGATCCACTGATACACGTTTGGCATCCAATAGTTTCCCTTTGCTGAGGACCTGCAAAGAAGGACACAGTAAATCTTCAGCACTCGTCAAATGAAAGGGGCTCTTGCTCTTTGATGTGATTTTGGGACATTTCCAGATTCTGTCTGTTTGTGTGCGTTTTTGTCCAGGTTTAACTGCAGCTAGAATCAGCATTCACACTCACCAAGTAGGTAATTTCTCGAACACTGCTTGTTCTCTCAGATGTAACACTCAGGTCCAGGGTCATTGCTCCCAATTGGACGTTGCCAACGACACGAGTGTACAGGTAGTTGGGTGTTACTTTGCTCGCCGGCGTGTAGGGCTGCACAGTTACTTCAATTTGTGCCTGTTTTTCAGCACTTAGACCCGGCATTTCAGTTTTTACCTTGAAGAAAGATAGATGCAGTTGAGACAAAAGGCCTTAAAATATCAAAACGAGTCTGAAACTGTCAGGACTTGGGGGAATGTGATAAACAGTATCTGTTTGTGTGTTTTCTCTTTGAAGGACGTTTGTTTTTTATCTGTGAGCTGTTTAACAATGTTTTCACTTGAAATGACTGACAGAGCCATACAAAAATATTGGATTATTCATTTTATCCTTAAATAAAAGACGGTCCACTGTGTTAGGTCTTGGTTCAACAGGTTATATGCATAATTTTAATATGTTTTAATAAACATTGAACCAGTCCGGCCCTCGGCTTGTAGCAAATTTGTTATTTTGGCCTCTGATGTATTTGACTTAGACATCCCTGGTCTATAGCTACACCACAGAGCCCTGTCTTCATTCCTGTCTTATGAGTCGGTGAAATCCCAAAATTGTTTTAAACGTACAATGAAAGTCTGAGCCTTGATCTCGGGCGGCATGTTGATGGACACATGAGTGTTTCCCGTGACTTTGAGCGTTGGCATGGATTTCATCTCGACAGTCAGTGGGACATTCTGTGCTGGAGTTCCTTCGTGATAATTTACAAGGATCTGAAAGAGAAGTCAGGGGATTACAACAGGCTGGAACTTGCCTAGATGTGCAAGGGTAAATATACACTAATGCGAAACAAAAGACACAAATCCAGTCATCTACTAAAAGCTGAGGAGCCTGATTATCAAACAGGAAAAATAGAACTAAATGGGGTTTAACATGCAAAATCTACTTATAATAATAATAAGTTTTATTTATAATGCACTTTATATTTGACATCAAATCTCAAAGTGCTACAAACAGGAGCATAAATAAAAGCAAACACATAAAATCAGATAAAAGACTATAAAAAATTAGCAGTACGCTTTAGTAAAAAGATGGGTTTTAAGTCCCTTTTTAAAAGCTTCCACCGTCTGTGGGGCCCTGAGGTGCTCCGGGAGGGCGTTCCACAGACGGGGAGCAGCGGCCTCGAAGGCCCGGTCCCCCATTTTCTTGAGCCGTGTCCTGGGTGGGAGCAGACGGTGCTGTTGGCCTGACCGGGTTCTGCCTGAGGAGTGTGGAGTGAGGAGGTCAGTGAGGTAGGTGGGGGCATCACCGTGGAGACAGTGGTGGGTGTGCAGGAGGATCTTGTATTCTATACGGAGGTGAACGGGGAGCCAGTGGAGGGTGTGAAGGATGGGGGTGATGTGCTCATGCTTCCGCACCCTCATCAGGACCCTGGCCGCGCTGTTTTGTACGTACTGGAGCTTTTGAAGGCTCCTGCCAGGGATCCCGATGAGGAGTGCGTTGCAGTAGTCCAACCTGGAGGAGACAAAGGCATGGACGAGCTTCTCTGCAGCCGGGAGAGAGAGAGAAGAGCGGAGTTTTGAAATATTACGGAGGTGGAAGAAGGAAGTTTTGCAGATGTGATGTATGTGATTTGCGAAGGAAAGGTGGGGGTCAAACTTGACCCCGAGATTGGTTACAGAGGGAGAGAGGGGAATGCTGTGGCCAAAGAGAGAGATTGAGGTGATGGGAGAAGAGTGAAGTTGATGGGGAGTACCAGTTTGAATGGCTTCTGTTTTTGAGCCATTCAGCTGCAGGAAGTTTTGCCTCATCCATGCCCCTATCTCCTCCAGGCAGGAGGTAAGACAGGAGAGAGATGCAGAGGGAGGGGTGGATGGAGTGACTTTGAGATAAAGTTGTGTGTCCTCAGCATAGCAATGGAAGTGAATTCCATGCCTGCTGACGACACACCCGAGGGGAAGCATGTACATGGTGAGGAGGGTGGGACCGAGCACGGAGCCCTGGGGGACCCCACAGGTGACAGAGTGGGGGCGAGATTTAGCGTCCCCCAGAACCACATGCTTGGTTCGGTCAGTGAGGTAGGAGTGAAACCAGTGGAGGGCAGTGTGGGAGAGGCCAATGTGGTGCTGGAGACGATGTAAAAGGATGTTATGGTCAATGGTGTTGAACGCAGCAGTGAGGTCGAGAAGAATGAGGATGGAAGTGGAACCGGAGTCAGAGGCCATGAGAAGGTCATTGGTCACTCTGATGAGCGCTGTTTCTGTGCTGTGGGAGGGGCGGAAACCAGATTGGAATTTTTCATAGAGACTATTTGATTTGAGATGATTATGGAGTTGAGTGGAGACTGCTCTTTCGAGGATTTTGGAAATGAATGGGAGGTTTGAGACAGGACGGTAATGGGAGAGGGGCACAGGGTCAAGAGTGGGTTTTTTAAGTAATGGTTTTATGAGAGCTGTTTTGAGGGAGGGTGGAATGGTGCCAGTACCTCCTTTTGACCATGTCATTGTTATTCTCGTCCCATTTTTACAGTTTTTTAGAACCATTTTGTGCATTTTTAAATCATTGATTATTATTATTATGATTATTGTTGTTTTGAATAATAGATGTTTGCATGTGTGTATGATAGGTGTGACTTGGAATGTGACAGTTAGAGAGAGAACAGGTGTGTGTTCCGGCTGCTAGAACATATAAGCGCTATATAGATAAAGATTACTTACTTACTACTCCTGCTCTGGGTTGCTGTCTGCATGAAAATGGTGCCTTATAAATACATTTGCCTCTTGCTCACCACTACTTTCTTCTTGAATCTGCCATGTGTGCTGTTCTATTTATTGTTGTCATGAAACAATTATTGTAAAATCATGTGGTTCTGGCTGCTCAAAAATGACTTAAAGAAGACAAACTAAACCCGAGGGAACAGTATTGCAACATTGTTAAAGATTGTTATTCATGAGAAAATCATATACTTACTGTAACATGGAAGGGCAAGCTTGGTTTAAGGTACTGTTGCATGTTTTTTACTTTTAAAACAAAAGGTGAATTCACTATTTTGATGTTGCTCCTCTCGATCTCAACCAGATCTCCACCTGTGGGGAATGTATGGAACCAATTTAAAATAGGACTTTATGGGATACCTAATATTACAATACATATCAATGCCAACCTAATAGTAGTATAGCACATACAGTAAATATCCCACTCAAGTCACACTGGTGTTGGATGAGGCCTGGAAAACCTTTGCCCTGGAACGTGTAACAAGAGTCTGAAGAGAGTCTGCAGCTGAGAGTCTGAAGCTGAGAGTCTGAAGAGAGTCTGATGAGAGTCTGCAGCTGAGAGTCTGAAGCTGAGTCTGCAGATGAGAGTCTGAAGCTGAGAGTCTGAAGAGAGTCTGATGAGAGTCTGCAGCTGAGAGTCTGCAGCTGAGAGTCTGCAGCTGAGAGTCTGAAGCTGAGAGTCTGCAGCTGAGAGTCTGAAGCTGAGTCTGCAGATGAGAGTCTGAAGCTGAGAGTCTGAAGAGAGTCTGCAGCTGAGAGTCTGAAGCTGAGAGTGAAGCTGAGAGTCTGCAGCTGGGAGTCTGAAGCTGAGAGTCTGAAGCTGAGAGTGAAGCTGAGAGTCTGCAGCTGGGAGTCTGAAGCTGAGAGTCTGAAGAGAGTCTTCAGCTGAGAGGCTGAAGCTGAGAGTCTGAAGCTGAGAGTCTGCAGCTGAGAGTCTGAAGCTGAGAGTCTGAAGAGAGTCTGCAGCTGAGAGTCTGAAGAAAGTCTGCAGCTGAGAGTCTGAAGCTGAGAGTCTGCAGCTGAGTCTGCAGATGAGAGTCTGAAGCTGAGTCTGCAGATGAGAGTCTGAAGCTGAGAGTCTGAAGAGAGTCTGCAGATGAGAGTCTGAAGCTGAGTCTGCAGATGAGAGTCTGAAGCTGAGAGTCTGAAGAGAGTCTGCAGATGAGAGTCTGAAGAGAGTCTGATGAGAGTCTGCAGATGAGAGTCTGAAGCTGAGAGTCTGCAGCTGAGTCTGCAGATGAGAGTCTGAAGCTGAGAGTCTGAAGAGAGTCTGCAGCTGAGAGTCAGAAGCTGAGAGTCTGAAGCTGAGAGTCTGCAGCTGAGAGTCTGCAGTACATTCAAAATGCAGTAGCTCGAGTCCTGACTAGAACCAGGAAGTACGACCACATTAGTCCAGTTCTCAGGTCTCTGCACTGGCTTCCTGTGGCTCAGAGAATAGACTTTAAAACAGCTCTGCTTGTGTACAAGTCTCTCCATGGCCTCGCACCAAAATATATTAGTGACATGTTAGTCCCATATGAACCAGCCCGGACTCTGAGGAGCACAGGGACTGGACTCCTGTTAGTGCCCAGAGTCAGAACTAAACATGGGGAGGCTGCTTTTCAGATTCATGCTGCTAAAATCTGGAACAGTCTTCCTGAAGATGTGAGACAGGCCTCCTCAATGACAATGTTTAAAACCAAGTTAAAAACGGTGCTGTTTAGCTGTGCATACAACTGAGGGATTTTATATTTTTATCTTTCGTTTTAATGTGTGAGTGTGTGTTGAGTTGCCCTGTGTATGAATTGTGCTATACAAATAAACTTGCCTTGCCTTGCCTTAGACGCTCAGAAAAAGTCTTCCGAAAAACAGGAAGTAAATCTCCCCATTAAGAACTATGTAAATCTTCACTGATTCTGAGTCAAAATGCTCTTTTTCTGTGGCGTGTACAGTTGTGGCGAAAGTTTGTTTCAATTTGAGGAACTTATGGAATCTTTGTTTTGCTAAAATGTATTTCTCTAACGGGTGTTGATTTTTAGGAAGATACCTAGAAAGTAACGAAAAAAATGTCATGTAGTATCATGTTTTCATGTAAATAAGGATGGTCTTTGAAGCTTTGTGCCATTGCATATGAGAGTGTTTTCTCCTTCATAAAGCCGTGCCGTGCTAGATTAGGGTCAGAGGTGTGATTGGAGCAGGACAGTGAAAACTAAACTTCTGTCTGTTTGTGTGCTTTGTGCAGGTTTTAACTGGTTAAAACATGAATGTACATTTAATGTGTTTGTATAGATGTGTTTCTGCTGCAGGACACCTGAATTTCTCCTTCAGGGGATCAATAAAGTATCTATCTATCTTTCAATCTATCGTTTGAGAGTAACATCCTCCAGAACTCCAGTCTCTTTCTCTTTTGAGTCTTTACCTGATTGCGTGAGCACTGACACTTTGATGTACACATAGCTGTCCACCAGAGAGTGGACGCTGCAGTCCTGCGTTGTTCCTCTGTCAGTCTGCACAGCACACGCCTCTTGTATTTCCCTCATCGTGATATTGAAAGTTCCCCCTTCTTCAAACTGGACACAGGGGGGAATAGACACAGGTGATGCAGGAGGGTCTAAGGACAGTGCTGATGATCCAGGACACGCCACATTCAGTGACATTTATTAAGATTTATGGACATTGGTCATGCTCACAGCAAAAAGTGATGAAAAATAAGTCAAAAATGTCTTAAATTTGGCTAAATGTGTTTTAATTGTAGTGCATTCTGTCTGCGTTAAAAGAAGATTTTTCAATGGGACAAAGCAAATTTATCTTGTTTTAATAAGATACAGAGATGTCTTACTTGAAATGAGAAAACTCAGTAACAGTTCTTGAAATAAGACTAAATGGCTTTGTCCCATTGGAGAATCTTGTCAGAAGGTGCTAAAATTAAGATAACTATCAGTCGATTCAACAAATTATTACATCATGTTTTATCTTTTTTTACAGTGTATGGACCAATGGCTCTATGTGGGTTTTTTTTGCATGTCCTGTTTGATTCTCTGATCTGTGTTGGCAAATTGACAGCTTTGTAAAATTCTCTGAGATAACTACCGTTGTGATTTTGGAATATACAAATAATAAATAGAGTTGAAAAAGACAAAATAAAAAAATGGTCTCTCTCTCTGGTCTCTCTTTGTGGTCTCTCTCTGGTCTCTCTCTCCCAGGGTCCTCAGTCCTGCATTTGTATGTTACAGGGTATGCATGGCTTTTGACAGCTGCAGCAGCGCTCAGGTTTGATATCTCTGGTCTCTCTAACTTCAGCAGTCATGATTTCAAGTGGTTAGAAAAGTGTGTACAGTGTGTGTGAGTAGCTAATATTGATCTGAAGGTATGGGGTAAGGTTACTGTCAATAAAGACGTGCATGTCTAAAAAAAATGCGTGCATATTTATTGGTATTTGTGCATACAAATATTTTATTAATTCATGATTAAGATAATACAAACTAAAAAGACATGGAATTTCGTCCATCCATCCATTTTCTTCCGCTTTATCCGTTGCCGGGTCGCGGGGGCAGCAGTCTAAGCAGAGACGCCCAGACTTCCCTATCCACACACACTTCCTCCAGCTCGTCCGGGGGGACCCCTAGGCGTTCCCAGGCCAGCTGAGAGACATAGTCCCTCCAGCGTGTCCTAGGTCTTCCGCGGGGCCTCCTCCCGGTGGGACGTGCCCGGAACACCTCCCCAGGGAGGCGTCCAGGAGGCATCCGGAACAGATGCCCGAGCCACCTCAACTGGTTCCTCTCGACGTGGAGAAGCAGCGGCTCTACTCCGAGCTCCTCCCGTGTGACTGAGCTCCTCACCCTATCTCTAAGGGAGCGCCCAGCCACTCTGCGGAGGAAGCTCATTTCGACCGCTTGTATCCGCGATCTCGTTCTTTCGGTCATTACCCAAAGCTCATGACCATAGGTGAGGGAGGGAACGAAGATTGACCGGTAAATCGAGAGCTTTGCCTTTCGGCTCAGCTCCCTCTTTACCACAACGGTCCGATACAGCGACCGCATCACTGCGCACGCTGCACCGATCCGCCTGTCAATCTCACGCTCCATTCTTCCCTCACTCGTGAACAAGACCCCGAGATACTTGAACTCCTCCACTTGAGGAAGGACCTCTCCACCCACCTGAAGAGGGCAGGGCACCTTTTTCCGGTCGAGCACCATGGCCTCAGATTTGGAGGTGCTGATTCTCATCCCAGCCGCTTCACACTCGGCTGCAAACCGTCCCAGTGAATGCTGCAGGTCCTGGTTCGTTGGAGCCAACAGGACAACATCGTCCGCAAACAGCAGAGATGAAATCCTGTGGTCCCCGAACCGGACCCCCTCCGACCCCTGGCTGCGCCTAGATATTCTGTCCATAAATACAGTGAACAGAACCGGTGACAAAGGGCAGCCCTGTCGGAGGCCAACATTCACCGGGAACAGATCTGACTTACTGCCGGCAATGCGAACACAGCTCTGGCTCCGGTCATACAGGGACCGGATGGCCCTCAGCAGAGGACCCCCGACCCCGTACTCCCGGAGAACCCCCCAAAGGACACCCCGGGGAACACAGTCGAACGCCTTCTCCAAATCCACAAAGCACATGTGGACAGGTTGGGCGAACTCCCATGAACCCTCGAGTATCCGATGGAGAGTATAGAGCTGGTCCAGTGTTCCGCGACCGGGACGAAAACCACACTGCTCCTCCTGGATCCGAGATTCGACCATCGGCCGTAGCCTCCTCTCCAGTACCTTGGAGTAGACCTTACCGGGGAGGCTGAGGAGTGTGATCCCATGATAATTGGAACACACCCTCCGGTCCCCCTTCTTATAGAGAGGGACCACCACCCCGGTCTGCCACTCCATTGGCACCGCCCCCGATCGCCACGCGATGTTGCAGAGACGTGTCAGCCAAGACAGTCCTACAACATCCAGAGACTTTAGATAATCAGGGCGGATCTCATCCACACCCGGAGCCTTGCCACCATGGAGGCTACCAACCACCTTGGTGACCTCAGCCAGGGAGATGGATGTATCCGCCCCAGCATCCTCAGCCTCTGCCTCTGAGACAGAGGACGTGACGGGGGGATTGAGGAGAACCTCAAAGTATTCCTTCCACCGCCCGACAATATCCCCCGTTGAGGTCAGCAGCTCTCCACCCGCACCGTACATGGTGTTGGCAAAGAACTGCTTCCCCCTCCTGAGGCGCCGGACGGTTTGCCAGAATTTCTTTGAGGCCGACCAATAGTCATGCTCCATGGACTCTCCGAACTCCTCCCAGTCCCGGGTTTTTGCCTCTGCAACAGCCCGGGCTGCGGCACGCTTGGCCTGCCGGTACTGGACAGCTGCCTCAGGAGTCCCCCGAACCATCATGGCTCGATAGGACTCCTTCTTCAGCCTGACAGCTTCCCTTACTGCCGGTGTCCACCACCGGGTTCGGGGGTTGCCGCCGGGACCAGCACCAGAGACCTTGCGACCACAGCTACGGGCCGCCGCATCGGCGATTGAGGCAGAGAACATGGTCCACTCGGACTCCATGTCCCCCTCCTCCACCGGGACCTGGGAGAAACTCTCCCGGAGGTGTGAGTTGAAAGTCCGTCTGACAGGGGGCTCAGCAAGACGTTCCCAGCAGACCCTCACTATACGCTTGGGTCTGCCAGGTCTGACCGGCTTCTTCCCCTGCCAGCGGATCCAACTCACGACCAGGTGATGATCGGTTGACAGCTCCGCCCCTCTCTTTACCCGAGTGTCCGAGACACGCGGTCGAAGGTCAGATGATACGACAACAAAGTCGATCATCGACCTCCGGCCTAGGGTGTCCTGGTGCCACGTGCACTGGTGGACACCCTTGTGCTCGAACATGGTGTTCGTGATGGACAAACTGTGACTGGCACAGAAGTCCAACAACTGAACACCGCTCGGGTTCAGATCAGGGGGGCCGCTCTTCCCGATCACCCCTCTCCAAGTGTCACTGGCGTTTCCCACATGGGCGTTGAAGTCCCCCAGGAGAATAACGGAGTCCCCGGGCGGTGCACCGTCCAGTACCCCTCCCAAGGACTCCAAGAAGGCCGGGTACTCTGCACTGCTGTTAGGCCCGTAGGCCGTCACAACAGTGAGAGACTTGTCCCCCACCCGGAGGCGGAGGGACGCGACCCTCTCATTCACCGGGGAGAACTCCAACACGTGGCGGCTGAGATGGGGGGCAATGAGAATGGCCACCCCAGCTCGCCGCCTCTCCCCGCGGGAAACACCAGAAAAGTGGAGCGTCCAACCCCTCTCAAGGAGTTGGGTTCCAGAGCCCAAGCTGTGTGTGGAGGTGAGGCCGACTATCTCTAGTCGGTATCGCTCAACCTCCCCCACAAGCTCGGGCTCCTTCCCCCCCAGTGAGGTGACGTTCCACGTCCCGAGAGCCAGCTGTTGTGTGTGTGGACTGGGTCGTCGAGGTCTCCGCCTTCGACTGCTGCCCAGTCCTCTCTGCACCATGCCACCACGGACCCCTCTGCAGGTGGTGGGCCCACAGGAGGGACTGCCCACGTCGTCCATTCGGGCTGAGCCCGGCCGGGCCCCGTGGGCTAAGGCCCGGCCACCAGGCGCTCGCCTACGAGCCCCGACCCCAGGCCTGGCTCCAGGGTGGGGCCCCGGCTGCGCCATGCCGGGCGACGTCACTGGTTTCGTATGAGTGCTGTCCACTCATACGAAGTGGACAGCACTTAATTACGAAATGGAATTTCGTAATTAAGAATAAAAAAAAAATAAAACTATGTGTGATTTTGTACTTGTGAATGCGATTTTTTTGTGTGTGCTTGCATTTTCTTTTTGAGAATACGAATTTCAGCAGTGAGCAAACTGTCAATAATACGTCACTGCTCACAGACATTAACAATCGAGCCTGCACAGAGTTGATCAACTTCATTGCCTAAAAACTAAACATGGCAGAAGGACACAACATAAACAAAGTGGCTCAAAATCAAGTATATAACTATATTTTATCATTTTGGTTGTAAATGAATGTGTAAGAAATATTAATTCCATAAATGTGTTCATAAGAAGATGTTTCTTGTCCCTCTAAAGGTTTTTTGGCAGTGTTGTTAGCTCCAATGCTAGTTTTATTTTCTTATCCTTATATTGTTTTATTCTACAGAAAATAATGCATTTATTTTAGTCTAAACAACAGACTAACTAGTCTTACTGAACTAGTGAGTAAAAGTAATGTGTCAAATGTACAAATATAAGATTGAGGTCCACAGGGACAGGGTCTGCTACGTCTAACAACCAAGGATGAGTACAGCACAGAGGTGAACTTCGTATTGCTCAGGGGCAGTAACAGCGCGAACTATGAATAATCTGGAGGGTTGGGGCTGGTATCAACACTTTAACCACATTGATTTGGGGCAAAGGCTTCATAAAATGTAACTGCTAAGAATGTAAAAATGTTGGTTTTAAAATAACATGGTAAGCTGTAAAACTAGCATTGAAGCTAGCCTTAACTAAACACTGCCTAAAAAAACGTTTCTAGAGAGGGACAAGAAACATCTTATGAACACATTTTATGGAATTAATATTTCCTACACATTTATTTACGACCAAAATGATCAAATATAGTTATTTACCTGATTTTGAGCCAAATTGTTAATGTTGTTTCCCTCTGCCATGAGCAACTCTGCGCAGGCTCGATTGTTAATGTCTGTGAGCAGTGACGTATTATTGACAGTTTGCTCACTGCTGAAATTCGTATTCTCTAAAAGAAAATGCAAGCACACAAAAAAGAATCGTATTCACAAGAACGAAATCACACATACAGTTTTATATTTTTTTATTCTTAATTACGAAATTCCATGTCTTTTTAGTTTGTATTATCTTAATCATGAATTCATAAAAATAAATTATGCACAAATACCAATAAATATGCACGCATTTTTTTTAGACATGCACGTCTTTATTGACAGTAACCTTACCCCATATGAAGGATCCGCTCAAGACATCAGATGAAGTTAGCGATCAGCTAATTTTTCCCATATTAGTGATAGTGCCAAATCAGCAAGATGTTCCTGATTCAGAATCAGGAACCTCGAGTCGCGATTTCAAGTGATTAGAAAAGTGTGTACAGTATGTGTGAGTAGCTACTTCGAGAATTTAACTCGTCTAATTGACATGTGTGTTATGATAGTTAATGATAAAGTCAGAAACTTTAGGCCTATATATCCACACTAACGCTACTCCCGAGGTCTCTCCCAACAGGATGTTTAGGGCAGTAGATCTAAACCAAGAACTCCCATTGGATTAAATAAAATCAAGCAATTAAAGAGTTATCAGAAATAAAGCTATAATTTGACCCAATTATTGTACAATATTAAACAACTAGATGACAGGCTAGGCTTCTCATTTCACCAAAACATAGCTACAGTAAGATGGATATACTTCACGCTCAATTACATGTATTGTGTATAGCCCTAAATCACAACAGCAGTCATCTCGGAGGACTTTACAAAGTTGTCGATTCGTCAATGCAGATCAGAGAATCAAACAGTTCAAACACAGGAAATGCAATGATAAAAAAACACATAGAACCTTTGACCAATGCCCATAAATGTTGACAAATGTCCTGGATCATCACCACTGTCCATACACCCTCCAAAAAAAACATAGGGACAGGTTCAGAGACATGACGTATAAACAAGAATATATTTGAAATATGGGACACAGATATATGAAAATGTGAGGGAGGCGTCTACTCTGTCAATGTTCAAATCCAGGTTAAAGACTGTTCTGTTTGCCTGTGCATACAACTGAAGGATTTTATCTCCATTTTTAATGCACTGCTGTCATTTATTTATTTTTTTAAATTTCTTGTGTAATTTTGAAAGTTTTAATGGTTTTATTCTTTTGTGTGATTTTAATGTTTTAATTGTGTTTTAATCTTTTGTGTGATTTTAATGTTTTAATTGTGATTCTGGTGTTTGTTTTATGTGATGATTTGTGATGTGGACTGTGAAGCGCTTTGTGTTGCCATGTGTATGAAAGGCGCTCTACAAATAAACTTTGATTGATTGATTGATTGATATATCGCAGGTAGTATTTTGACAAACCATGGTGACTTTCTTCACTTTCGGAGCCCTCTTGATCTGCTTGTCCTTCTTCACCCCATAGACCACATACGCAGTTCCAATGACCGACTCGCCAAAAAAATAACTTAAGCACAAACGCAGACATGATTTTAATAGACTTTAAACAGATTTAAGAAACTGTTATGGCTGACAAACCTTGCAGTGATGTCCACCAACAACACGGTATCTACCACGTCCATGTACAGTTTTCTGGGTTTTGCGGTGACATTGAAATCAGGGAGGACTAAAACAAAAGGTATGAGCAGTTTATGAGAAGATTTAGGCTGTCTTCATGCAAAATCCTACAAATCTACTTTACTCAAAACTACAAAAACTCAATAAAGATAAAGTACAGATAAAGTAAGCGATCAGATATTTTTTTCCCCATTAGTGATAGTGCAAAATCAGCAGGATGTTCCTGATTCAGAATAGACAGGGACTGGCCTACAGCTGTAGGCCTTGACATTAAGCTTTGTCAGCCACTTGGCCTTTGGGCAAGTACCATTTATACTTTACTTGCCCAATGTCAAAAGTTACTTGCTCAAATATTTCTCAATACAATGAGTTAACAAGAGATTGGCAATAAAGTGGCACTAAATATGTGGAAAAAAATTCACTCTCAGTCCAAAAAGTCCAATAATCACTTACAGTGCCTTGCGAAAGTATTCGCCCCCCTTGAACCTTTCAACATTTCACCACATTTCATGCTTCAAACATAAAGATATAACATTTTAATTTTTTGTCATGAATCAACAACAAGTGGGACACAATTGTGAAGTGGAACGAAATTTATTGGATAATTTAAACTTTTTTAACAAATGAAAAACTGAAAAGTGGGGTGTGCAATATTATTCGGCCCCTTTACTTTCAGTGCAGCAAACTCACTCCAGAAGTTCAGTGAGGATCTTTGAATGATCCAATGTTGTCCTAAATGACTGATGATGATAAATAGAATGTACCTGTGTGTAATCAAGTCTCTGTATAAATGCACCTGCTCTTTGATAGTCTTAGGGTTCTGTTTAAAGCGCAGAGAGAACCATGAAGACAAAGGAACACACCAGGCAGGTCCGAGATACTGTTGTGGAGAAGTTTAAAGCCGGATTTGGATACAAAAGATTTCCCAAGCTTTAAACATCTCAAGGAGCACTGTGCAAGCAATTATATTGAAATGGAAGGAGTATCAGACCACTGCAAATCTACCAAGACCCGGCCGTCCCTCCAAACTTTCATCTCAAACAAGGAGAAGACTGATCAGAGATGCAGCCAAGAGGCCCATGATCACTCTGGATGAACTGCAGATAACTACAGCTGAGGTGGGAGAGTCTGTCCATTGGACAACAATCAGTCGTGCACTGCACAAATCTGGCCTTTATGGAAGATTGGCAAGAAGAAAGCCATTTCTCAAAGATAGCCATAAAAAGTCTCTTTTAAAGTTAGCCACAAGCCACCTGGGAGACACACCAAACATGTGGAAGAAGGTGCTCTGGTCAGATGAAACAAAAATCGAACTTTTTGGCCACAATGCAAAACGATATGTTTGGCGTAAAAGCAACACAGCTCATCACCCAGAACACACCATCCCCACTGTCAAACATGGTGGTGGCAGCATCATGGTTTGGGCCTGCTTTTCTTCAGCAGGGACAGGGAAGATGGCTAAAATTGATGGGAAGATGGATGGAGCCAAATACAGGACCATTCTGGAAGAAAACCTGTTCTGCAAAAGACCTGAGACTGGGACGGAGATTTATCTTCCAACAGGACAATGATCCAAAACATAAAGCCAAATCTACGATGGAATGGTTCACAAATAGACGTATCCAGGTGTTAGAATGGCCAAGTCAAAGTCCAGACCTGAATCCAATCGAGAATCTGTGGAAAGAGCTGAAGACTGCTGTTCACAAACGCTCTCCATCCAACCTCACTGAGCTCGAGCTGTTTTGCAAGGAAGAATGGGCAAGAATTCCAGTCTCTCGATGTGCAAAACTGATAGAGACATACCCCAAGCGACTTGCAGCTGTAATTGCAGAAAAAGGTGGCGCTACAAAGTATTAGCGCAAGGGGGCCGAATAATATTGCATGTGTGGTGGTAGGCCCCTTGAGCCGCTGGTAGCCTATCGCGTACCGCCTCACCCTTTAATAGGTAGTTAGCGCACCTGCGCTCCCTCTTGCCTCTGACGTCACCCACTGCCTGGGAGCTTGCAGCAGCATGAGCTGGAGCCTCGCCAGATCTGTATTTCACAATTGAATCCAGCATCACTTGCTCTTCAGTGAGTATTTGCGTTTATTCAATAAAGTGGTGTTACTGTGGTGGACTAAAATGCTCCATTTCCCTAGTTCGCATTACACAGTGCAACGTATGGCTTGGCTCTAATCTCGTGGCTCATGCTGCAGGCCACTCCACCAAACAGCCCCGGTAAGCTGCCCTGTGTGCACAATATCAACTTTCGAGTCCTTTCTAACTTGCGCTGGTTACAGTGCGCAGCGTCAGGCAAGTGCTTACGCACAACAGGTGCACCAGCCCGTGGCACTGTGGCTGTGCTCAACTCCGGTAAGGCCTTCCTCTGTTAATTATTTCATCGGATTTATTTAATTAGTTACCCTATTTATTACTCTTTAGTTTGGCTTCGGGTCAAACCATTCCAATGGTCTGTAAGTTGCAGCACGGTGCCACTGAAGCATTTTAATTTGGGTAAGTGCCTGGGAAATATGTTTTCTTGGAATGCTGCATGTTTCCACCCCAATGCAGGATTTAATCACCGAAATTTCTAACTTTTAGGACCGTATTCCAAGCGGGTCTCTCCTTCACCCTCTTCATCCGCTCCTCTCCTCTCCCATTTGAGCCAGCGGCTGGTACTGGCCAGAGTGCACCCGTCCGCGGGCCCCTGTCCTCTCAACGGTTGACTTGACTCGGACTGGACTAGGACTCGGACGGGACTGGGACTCGGACGGACCGGACAGCTGCCGAGCTATACCAGCGTGCGCGCTGACGCGCGCGCCAGGCCAGTCACTGTGCGGACCAGCGCGAGCCTCCGGTAGGACAGTAGATGGTGGGAGTTTGCATTTGGGGATGATGTTTTGAATGTTTTATGTATTTTGGGATAATGTGATAACGTTTTGGGAGAATGTTTTAATCTTGGACTAATGTTATTAATTAATTGTGTAGAGCTCATTTTAAAAGAACCAAAACCTTTTTTGTAAAAGTGTATCTCCAACGTTAATGTGAATAAATTGAATCATTTTCTTATCTGCGTCTCTTGGTCCACTCAATCACGGACGTGTACGTCCTTGTGAGTTTCCCTATTAAAATATAGGGCGGCGTTGCTATTTTTCAAGAATCAGTGGTTAAAATCATTAGTTGGAGGTATTAACTGTAACCCGGCAATTACACATGCCCCACTTTTCAGTTTTTTATTTGTTAAAAAAGTTTAAATTATCCAATAAATTTCGTTCCACTTCTTGATTCTTGACAAAAAAATAAATTTTTATATCTTTATGTTTGAAGCCTGAAATGTGGCGAAATGTTGAAAGGTTCAAGGGGGCCGAATACTTTTGCAAGGCACTGTAAGTATGCAAAATAAAATACAAGACGCCAGTCGTGGTGTGTTCTATTTGATTTTTTGACAACAGTTCACTTTTGTGCACAACAATATGCATTTTTAATGCAAGAGAACATTTAGGTACAAGAGCTTTAATTTTTTGAGTTTTGGTTGCGCAGAGGTAGGAGGCACGGGGGACACCGGCACTTGCAACAAGCTGGGGATGGTCCTGAACGCGTGTCAACGGTTCTGTTCACGTGTCAACGGTTCTGTCCACGTGTTAACGGTTCTGTCCGCATGTCAACGGTTATAAGATAAGAATTCCTTTATTCGTCCCACAGTGGGGAAATTTCGATGTTGCATCGCACATATAGGACAGTAGTAAGAGCACACAGGGAGCACACACTATATACAAATAAGTAGTAGCTATGTTTCTTAACTAACATAACTAGCTGTAGATGCTGAAAATGCTTCAATACCAGTCAAAACATATATATGTAGTAGTGCAGTTATATACTGTACAGTAAAATAGTGCAGGATAAAAAGTATATAAGTAAAGTGACATGAGGTAAAGTGACATTGTTCTGACCGCATGTCAATGGTTCTGACCGCATGTCAATGGTTCTGACCGCGTGTCTATGGTCCTGTCCGCGCGTTTATGGTTCTGTCCGCGCGTCTATGGTTCTGTCCGCGTGTCTATGGTTCTGACCGCATGTCAATGGTTCTGACCGCGTGTCTATGGTCCTGTCCGCGCGTTTATGGTTCTGTCCGCGCGTCTATGGTTCTGTCCGCGCGTCTATGGTTCTGTCTGCGCGTCTATGGTTCTGTTCGCGGATGTATGGTCTGCGCTCGGTACCACGTTACGCAGTGCGTTCGCTGAGCTGTTCACAAAGCGGCCGCAGCTGCCCTGGGGTCAGAGCGGAAGATGTGCCGTTCGAGTACGTGCATCAAACAACAAAAAGTGCCGCTGTCATACATTTCACAGAAATGACATTGTGAGCGGAAAAAAATCGGGAATCGCGGATCCGTGGCAAATTTTTAAGAGAATAGGTCAAAAAAAGAAAAACAGACGTGTCCGCTCCCGGCTCCAGAGGACGAAAGACGGAAATACGTTACCATTGAATGGGTTAAAGTAATACTTCACTTGCCTGATGGGGCAACTTTCTAAAACAGCGCACTTGCCCGTTCCAAATCTTTAGTTGCCCCGGGCAAGCGGACAACCATTATTGTCGAGCCCTGAGCTGGGACTCTGAGGAGCACAGGGACTGGCCTCCTGCTGGTCCCAGAGTCAGGACTAAAGATGAGGAGGCAGCATTCCAGATGTATGCAGCTAAAAACTGGAACAGTCTTTCTGACAATGTTCAAATCCAGGTTATAAACAGTTGTTTTGAGCTGTTCTGAAGGATTTTCAAATATCAGAATCAGAATCATTTTTATTGCCACGTAAGTAACAGGAAGTCACAGACTTGGAAATTGCTTTGGCTCAGTGCAACAGTCAGAGAGAGATAATAAAAATAAAGAATAAAAAACACTTCTAAGGAATAAATTTAAATTGAAAATAGAGTTACAGTTACTATTAACAATATACAAGTGCACATGGTGCACACAATGTAAGGTGACAGCAGTACAGTGAAGTAAAGTGACCCTCTGCACCGGGAGCAGTGGTCGGTGTGGCTGCGGGAGTCGGACTCTTGGGCCTGGTGGGGGCCTGGGGCCCATGTCTCCTCTGGGTCCTGTGTCGTCCCCTGTGGCTACGGGCGGCTCTCTGCTCCTGGTGCAGACGGCTCCTTGGATGACGCTTTTTCAGCTGGTTGCATCTGAACCCTGCCAAGTCTCTCATCATGGTTTTATCGTTTTACTGGTGTGTGTGTGTGTGTGTGTGTGTTCATGAGCGCGTGTGTGTGTTTGTCTGTGGTTTGGGGTAGGGTCTGTTGGGTGGTCTGGGGGAGGGGTCTTGGGTCGGTGGGATTGTTTTTAACCAAACTGTAAAGCACTTTTTGTTGCATCTTATGTATGAAAAGCGCTTTATAAATAAAATTTGATTGATTGATTGATGATGGGCAGTAAAGTGACTTTATAAAGGGCGGGGGGACAGGTTAAGAAGTGTTCAAGAGTCTAACAGCAGAGGGGAAGAAACTGTTCTTGTGGCGGGAGGTTCTAGTCCTGATGGACCGCAGTCTCCTGCCTGAGGGGAGTGGTTGGAATAGTCCATGTGCAGGGTGAGAGGGGTCGGCTGTGATACGACCAGCCCGGCCTCGAGCTCGGGCGACGTACAGGTCCTGCAGCGATGGAAGGCTGCGGCCGATCACTTCCTCTGCAGATCGCACAATGCGCTGTAGTCTCTGTTTGTCCCTGACTGTGGCTCCAGCGAACCACACGGTGATGGAGGAGGTGAGGATGGACTCGATGATGGCCGTGTAGAACTGCACCAACATGCAGGCAGCATGGCTTTCCTGAGCGGCCGCAGGAAGTACATCCTCTGCTGGGCCTTCTTGATGAGGGAGCTGATGGTTGGCTCCCACTTGAGGTCCTGGGTGATGGTGGTGCCCAGGAAACGGAAGGACTCCACAGAGGTGATGGGGGAGTCCATCACGGAGGGTGGGGGCGGGGGGACAGTGCTGTTCCTGAAGTCCACAATCATCTCCACTGTCTTCTGGGCGTTCAGCTCCAGGTTGTTACCACTGCACCAGGACACCAGCCGGTCCACCTCCCTCCTGTAGGCGGACTCATCGTTGTTGGAGATAAGTCCAATGAGGGTGGTGTCGTCCGCGAACTTGATCAGCTTCACGGAGTCGTGGCTGGAGGTGCAGTGGTTGGTGTACAGGGAGAAGAGCAGGGGAGAAAGAACACAGCCCTGTGGGGCTCCTGTATTTATAATCCGAGAGTCCGAGACATTCTTCCCCAGACGCACTCGCTGCTTCCTGTCCGTCAGGAAGTCAGTGATCCACCTGCAGGTGGCATCGGGCACGTTGAGCTGGGAGAGCTTGTCCTGGAGCAGGGATGGCAGGATTGTGTTGAAGGCAGAGCTGAAGTCCACGAACAGGACCCTGGCGTAGGTCCCCGGGGAGTCCAGGTGCTGTAGGATGTGGTGGAGGGCCAGGTTAATGGCGTCGTCTACAGATCTGTTGGCTCTGTAGGCAAACTGCAGGGGGTCCAGGAGGGGGGAGGTGAGGTACTTGAGATGGGAGAGGACCAGGCGTTCAAATGACTTCATGACGACAGACGTAAGTGCTACAGGTCTGTAGTCATTGAGTCCTATGATCCTGGGCTTCTTCGGGACGGGGACAATGATGGAGGATTTGAAGCAGGCCGGGACATGGCAGGACTGCAGAGAGGTGTTGAAAATGTCCGTGAACACAGGAGTAAGCTCACTGGCGCAGTGTCTCACAGTGGCCGGAGACACGTGGTCCGGGCCAGGAGCTTTGCGGGGGTGCAGCCTCAAGAAGAGTTGTTTAATCTCTTAAGAGGCTATTGTCAGGCTGGGGGCAGGGCTGATGGGTGGGTCGTTAGAGTAGTGGGGGGTGGGGGAGGGAGAGGTGTCAGGGGCAGCATCAAAGCGACTGAAAAATAAGTTCAGTTCGTCAGCTAGCTTGTGGTCATCAGCACAGGGGGGGCTTTGGGCTTGTAGTTGGTGATCTCCCGTAGGCCCCTCCAGACAGAAGCAGTATCGTTGTTACCAAACTGCTCCTGTAGTCGTTCTCTGTGCCGGGACTTGGCTGCTTTCAGTTCTTTCCTGAACTGATATTTAGCTGCTTTGTAGCCGCTGCGGTCCCCCTCCCTGAAAGCAGACTCCTTTGCTTTCCTGAGCTGCCGGAGTTTAGCAGTGAACCAGGGTTTGTTGTTGTTATAGATAATCCTGGTCCTTGTTGGAATGATGCTATCCTCGCAGAAGTGAATGTATGACGTCACAGTGTCCGTGTATTCATCCAAACTATCTGTGGCAGCTCTGAAAAGGTCCCAGTCTGTAGATTCCATGCATGCGCGCAGCTCTTCCACAGCTTCATCAGACCACACTTTGGAGCTCCTCACTGCAGGTTTCGAGAGCTTTAGTCTCTGTCTGTAAGCAGGATCAGATGTATCATGGAGTGATCTGAGAAGCCGAGGGCTGGCTTGGGAACAGCGCGAAAAGCTCGGCGCACGGTGGTGTAACAGTGATCCAGAGTGTTCTCCTCTCTGGTCGGGCATTTGATAAACTGTCTGTATTTGGGTAATTCCTGGCTCAAGTTTCCCTTATTAAAATCCCCCAGGATAGTAATCAGAGAGTCCGGGTATAAACGTTCCATACACAGTATTTGCTCTGCGAGTGCATAACTTTAAATGAATTAATGTACAAAGATTATTCATGCTTGTACGTGATTGATGATTTTCATCCTTCCTCTCGTATTATGAAAAAGCACTTTGAGTTGCTCTCTTCTGTACAAATAAACTTTCCTTGTCCCGAGTGTGTAAATGCCAAAAGAAAACAAGTCAAAATCTGGCAATTGCCCTGTTTCACATACCATAATTCTTTTACATCAAAAGTGGTATTGAAGTTGTTCTCAGGCCTGCGATCGAATCTTGCATGTATGGTCCATTTTCCTTCACTGTTATGGGACAAAGAAGTTGCATAATACTAAATACTAGTAACCAACAGCTACCAACAATATGATGAACATAATACTAAAAGCTATGATTTTTTTTTAAACAGAAGAAGACTTACGACCCGATTTTAGGAATAGTGTAGGATACTGGAACGATGCCGAATGGATTTGGTTTCCTGTAGGATTTCTGGTCGACCACAACATCATCTGGATTCTTCAAAACACAGAACAAATGCATTTTAATAAAACAATTTACAATCAGCTATTTTAGCTGGTGAACCACAACCAAGCCCCGGCGATCCAAGATGGCGCCGTATTCAAATGAATGGTTTGTGCTAAGTGGCGCTTTGTGTCGGCATGGGAGCTGAAAGATTAGCGGAACTCCGCCTGGAACTCGCAAAGATCCATGGGAAACTCGCCTGTGTTTGGGCATCGTCTGGTCCTCCCGGTTCTGCGCAGTGGATGAACTCCCATGATGCTTTGCGCCAAATACGCGTGTGTGGCTGTCATGAACGCGCACAGAGGGGCTCGGCTGTGCTCTGACCAATCAGAGCTGCTGATCAGAGCGGGAGTTAGAGCGGGAGCCAGACGAGCAGAGTTTGTGGCACTAAAGTGTAGATTTAAAGAAAATCAAATGATTTAAGAAGAAAAAAAGTTCAGGATGTCATGGGACACTAAAATCCCCACAAAATCCGACCTTTATGAAAGCTGTAGGTTCTCTGTCAGGTTCTCTGTCAGCTGAGGTCGAGTTATTTTAGTTTACATTGAGTTCTATGGGGAAAATTTCTGGGTAGCCCACGTGAATTTAGTCTGGTCTAGTCTGCAGTACCTCGAGAATCCCCCGAGCACGTGGGTCCTTCAGCTCCAAGCTAGTTATATCCTATCCAGTTATTTTAATAGATCCATGACCACAACATGCTGTCTTCCTCCCATACCTACTCCTTTATTAGATTTTATACTGGCTTCTTTATTATGCTAAAGTTAGACATTTTAAACTTATTTCTTTATTATGCTAAAGTTGGAGATTTTATTTTAGTATTGTTCATTTATCATGTGTTGTATGCTCCTCATTCCTACTATCTCACTAGAAAACATTTGATTTTTTGACATACTGGGAGCTGATTGGCTGAGAGATGGCAGTGTGTGTGTGTGTGTGTGTGTGGGAAGGGACCATGTGATTTGTGTGTATATGTGTGTGTCTGACCTTTATAAATGAGCTGTATGAATGTGAACAAATAGTACACGTGAGGACTTGATCCAATGTAAACTGTATATCCATGTAAACTGTATTTCCACGTAAACTGTCTATCCATGTATTTTGTTTGTTGTTTTATTGTGATATCATAACATCAGCCTGTCCAGGGACTACAGGTGGAATTGAGTTCTTTAGCCATAACCTGGTACAATGCGTCTTTCCCTTTGAGGTTAATGTTTATTGTACACTGTTTCTGTCATCTTAAATAAATAAACTAAAGATCAAAAGTGAAATAGACAGGACCACCCTTACTCAGCCCAAGGAGTCAAACAGTGACTCCCAGGGCTCCTCTGTACAAGTAGCAAAAGATTATACATATTGGCTAATTAGAAGAAAAAAGCATCTGATTGGTCGGATTTTTTCACAACATTTAACTTTAACAAGACTCATTCAGTTTTTGAATATGCATCATTTAAGAAAAGACAAAAGTTAGGTACCCCAGCTTTAATTTTTTAATCAGTGGTAAATCTTAGGTGTAACATGGTTTTATTTACACCAACCTTAATGTCGATGGATACTGACTTTGAATCACTGCCTTTGAAGGATGGAGAGGTGGCATACACACGTATTTTGACTGAAACGAGAAAAAACACTGAGGCATCATTTAGAAAACACATGCAAGACCATTATCCTCGCTGTGTGAAGGAAATATTCCGCAGGTGCTTCCTCCTTGCTGCTGTCAGACTGTACAACGAGAACGGCTGAGTCTGTACGTCACTCCCCTGTTCTGATAAGAATTCACTAGCCACCAAATAAAACAGTAGAGAACTTCTTTTCCTCGACAAATTGCACAGATAAGTAAGGTGACAGTGGACACATGTGGTTCCATATTGAAAATACTGACATTACTTCAAATGATTGCACAGATACACAACATGTGAGGTCAGATTGACAGTGTTCGTTAGTCCTCGTTGATCATTGTAAAGTCTGAGGAAGGAAGGACTTGTGTTGTATTTGTCCCAGATTCGCCTGTGCCTGGATTGAACATTTTCACAGACTCGTCAAAACCTTCCAAATCAGTGCATGATCACAAACTGATTACTGTTATCAGTTATCTAGTTATCTAGTTATCTAGGTCTTTCCTTCCTGCTGCTGTCAGACTGTACAACGAGAATGTGTAACAGGAACTGCTGAGTCTGCACAAGTGTCACTGATAATTCACTAGTAACTTTGTCACTAGTCACTTTACCTGTTATCAGTACTACCACAGTATTACATATCTGATATTTCTGCCTTTCACCGTCACTTTACCTGTTGATATCTTACTGTATTATTCATATCCATCTGATAATTCTCTCATTCAAGTCACTTTATCTGTTGATATTATTTCAGATGTTTATTCTGCTCATATTCATATTCTCATATTCTCTGCTGCTAATGTATAATATAGACATCTGTAAATACTCCGAACCAAGTGCAATTATAGCCCAGAGTTTATCTTATTTTATTTTATTTTATTTTATCTTAAATTTATTGTCTATTATCTTAAATAATAGACTTTGATGTGTGCAATCTGAGTGCTCTTATTTCCTTTCTCTGCTGTAATGTGCGCAACGATGACACTGACATTTCTCCACTGTGAGACTAATAAAGGTTTATCTTATCTTATCTTATCTAATGAATGGAATATATAGTAATATAATAACGTAGTAATAATAATAGCAGGACTAGTGACTAGTAAAGTGATAGAGTTTATAATGAAGAATAGTTTTGGTACAGCTAATATTGGATGCAGGTTAGGTGTTATAACAGACTAATAAAACAAATTCAGGACATATTTAGATATTTTAAGACACTGTTAACTTATAACCGTTAGCTCAAAGCCATTAGTAAGTAAGTAAATTAAGTAACGTTTATTTATAAAGCGCATTTTACATACCTAGATCACCCAAAGCGCTTTACAATGTTCAGAGTTCAGTATTGTCTCGATCAATTAGCTTAAAGCCGTTAGCTTATTGTCATTAGCTTGTAGCTCCTTAAGCCGCTAGCTGATAGTCGTTAGCTGATAGCAGATAGCCGTTAGCCTATACCCGTTAGCTTACAGTAATTTCCTTAGAGCCGTTTGCGTATAGCCGTTAGCGTCGGTACAAAACAGATATAAGGAGAGTTCTCTTTTTGGGACATATTCAGATAAAGTACAGATACACACCCAAGTCTGTAACCACAATAAAGTATTTTGAGACTTATGTGAATTAGTCAGTCGGTGACAGGGACCCCTATTTCCAAGAGAAGCTGGGAGCAAGAACAAGGTCAATGAGCATGTCTTGACCAGTGGGGGCGGGTCTCGGCTCAAAAGTGGCCAAAATGACGTGCGCTGACATGCTTGCAATACCACCCCGGGCCGATGGGGGTGGACCCAGAAGAAGAATTAGCCAATGCTAACATGTAGCATTGGCAGACCTCTCGAAAACGTCTTTACAGGATGGACCAAAAGTTGGCTCTTGGCCCAAAGCTCCGTTCCACATGTGTGTCAATGCTGAGGGGGGTGAATTTTTTTGGACCACTCTAGTTTACTTGCTGTGAATTTTTGAAGTCTCTCGTTCAAACCATAGACTGTATATATTAACGGACAGAGTAACGCCTATCTCCGCCGTTCTAACTAATGGGCCAAAAAATGGGCTCTACTGGAGCAATCCAAGATGGCCGCGAGTGGTCCCGCCCACAAGAAAATTGTGAAAAAACGCATCTGCGCATGCGTCAGTCGGCGCGACTCCATTCATTTGAACGAGAGACTTCAAAAATTCACAGCAAGTAAACTAGAGTGGACCAAAAACATTCGACCCCCATCAGCATTGACACACATGTGGAACGGAGCTTTGGGCCAAGAGCCAACTTTTGGTCCATCCTGTAAAGACGTTTTTGAGAGGTCTGCCAATGCTATATGTTAGCATTGGCTAATTCTACTTCTGGGTCCACCCCCATCGGCCCGAGGTGGTATTGCAGCATGTCAGCGCACGTCATTTTGGCCACTTTTGAGCTGGGACCCTCCCCCACTGCTTCAAATGAATGTTGCGCCGGCTGACGCATGCGCAGATGCGTTTTTTCACAATTTTCTTGTGGGCGGGACCACTCGCAGCCATTTTGGATAGCTCCAGTGGAGCAATTTTTTTGGCCCATTAGTTAGAACGGCGGAGATAGGCGTGACTCTGTCCGTTAATATATACACTCTATGGTCTTGACCTAACTATTATCTGACTCACCGAATTGTTCTGGTTTGTAGATGGGCTTGTCCGTCTGAATGAAGATGTATCCAGATTGAAAGGACACCAGGATAGCTCTCTTCTCAATGTGCTGATTTCCGAACTGAACCTCCAGGTAGACAAACTGCTTTACTTTCTCATCTCGTTTAAAATTGTCCGATGGCAGCTGGAATTCAAGAGGATCATGTTATGAGCTGCATGTGTATTTATTTGTTGAAACTAAAAAGGAAAAAAAAAACTGGTATATTTGAGTGGAACAGAGTTTGGCTGGAACCACTGGAGAATATTCTGACAGGTTTTTTTTTCTTTTCTACAAATATAAAAATGTATATGGTTTGCAATTGATTTTCAGTTGAGCTTTCATGTCATTGTATGTGTGAAAGAATGTATGTGTGTGTTTGTGTGTGTGTGGGTGTGAGTGTGTTTGTGCATGTGTGTGCGTGTATGAAAGGATGTATGTGCGCTTTATATTACCGGTAATTGAACGCAACTGTAATGTGATTTTAGGTATGGGATGGAAGCTTATAAATCTTCCCACTCCTGTTTGAGAGTTGACAGGAGTGAAAAAAGGAATCCCTTAAATGTTTGTATGAATGATTCCTGTTTATAAGCTTGAAATAAATCTAATAAATTAAAAACTCAAATAAGAAAATCTTGCAACCGTGACGAGGCTGCACAGATCCATCCTTCCCTCACGACTCACGATGAGCAAGACCCAGAGAGACATAATCCATCCATCCTTGTTCTTCTGCTTGATCTGTAGCCGGGGTCGCGGGGGCAGCAGTCTGAGTAGAGACGCCCATACTTCTCTCTCCACACACACTTCCTCCAGCTCATCTGGGGGAACCTTGAGGCGTTCCCAGGCCAGCTGAGAGACACAGCTACTCCGGTGTATCCTGGGTCGTCCCCTGGTCTCCTCATCTGATTCCTCTCGACTTGGAGAAGCAGCGGCTCTACTCCGAGCTCCTCGAATGTGACTGAGCTCCTCACCCTATATCTAAGGGAGCGTCCAGCTGCCAATGTGAAGATGAAGCTCATGTGGGTCGTTACGAATCGAGAGCTCTGACTGCAGACCCTGCTCCCTCTTCCCCACAGTGAAGTGACTGCATCAGACTACTGTGTTGTGATACTTGATATGAAACCTAAACTATTAATTAATTTGCATTGTTTACCCTACAACCAATGAATCTCTAAATCTATATATTTTCCTTTTCAAACCCCTGTTCTCTGACCTGGACGGGCGCCAGTGCATGGAACTTGTTTCGATTGTTGAGAAGGACGTATGAAGTTATCAGAACATTCTCAGAGATGTAGTCTTTGAACTGGATCGTAACTTGGACTTCGGCATCGGCCTGAATGAACACGTTCTCCTCGGTGTCAGTCCGGATCAGATTTGGAGCCACAACCACAAACCTGAAAGAAGGATTCAAGTTCAGTTACAAGCAAAAAGACAGAAAAGCGTCTGTCCTGGTGTGGTGGTTTTGTTACTTTTACCTGGTTTCATTTTGTTCACAGTAAAGTGTTAATTATTGTATCTGGACTTTAAAAGATCACTCAAAAACTAAATTTACTATTATAAATTGGAAAAAAATATTTCAAACACAGACATTTCAAAGAAATATTTGTGGATAAAATCAAAAGGAGAAATTGTCACAACATCAGGAAATCACTTTATTTAAAAAGGAATCATAAAAAAATCTACAAATTTGAGAAAAAAACTTTAAAACAAAAATATGTTCTGGTTTCACATTTAATTGGTTTACTATATGAAAGTATATCACGTTGTGTCAACTCTGTGTAAAAAAACAGAACGTATGAATCAAATGTGGATCTTAAAATATGTGACAAACTTCAGCTCATTCGAAGGATCAGGATCATCAAATAAACAGTTACTAAAGAAAACTCATTTATAAAACAGTTCTCCTCTAGTTCTACAGATGGACAGAAGAGGGATTTGGATACTCTTAGTGTGAACAAGCTCCTATCAAGCTCCTATACTTGTTTTGTTGTTGTTATAGTTTTACTTTCTGTCTGTGCTGTTGATTGTTGATGAATTGTGTTTTGCCCCTGGTTTCATTTTTCTATTTTTAATAAATTTATATTTTATTATGCAACATTTACACAAACAATACAATAAAATAGCAATAATAACATAAAAGTCTGATGTTGACAAAATACAAAACAAACAAAAATAAATAAGACAATTACAAATCAAGGAAATTAGTAGTAACTGAGGGAGGTATTCTGTGAGTGTTTGTGTACGTGTATGTGCGCGTGTATGTGTGTGTGCGTGTATGTGTGTGTGTACGTGTATGTGCGCGTGTATGTGTGTGTGTGTGTATCACGGCTTATGTCACTGAGCGCTGCATACTGTGACACTGTCGTGTGGGAGAGATCTGTCAGCTCTGGGCCCTCTTGTTCTACACCTAAGTGCCCGGTTCGGAATAAAGAGCCTGCGGACTGCGAGGAGCCATCCAGCGCCGTGGCCCATGTCCTGAGCCTTTCAAACCGCTATGCAGCCCTCTCCGCTGACATTCCAGCCCCCTCAGCAGAACCCCTGGACTCTGCAGCAAACTCTACTGCTGTCCGTGGATCCAGGTCCACTGCGAGAAAGACACTCTTAAAGGAAGCTGTCCTCAGACGAAAGAGTGGTCATTCCCCTTCTCTGACCCCAGTGCATCACCACCACTTACCTTCACCGGGTCAGCAGCAGCGACCCGAGCCTGCTCCTCACGCCGCTCCAGCGTCCCCGAGCACACAGCGTGGGTTGCCCGGAGCTGGGAATCAACACCCCCACTCCTCTCCATGTGTTCAGCAGCGCCCTGGTTCGGACCCATCCCTGGATGAGCCCGCTGGTTCTGGCCATGGACACCGAGCGCCCTCTCCGCGGCCGCGTCCACTCTTCGCCCCAACTACTCTGATTGTTGGAGATTCCATCGTGAGGCACGTCCGCTTTTTTAACGCGGTCACTCACTGCATTACCGGAGCTACTGTCCCAGATCTGCTCATCCGTCTCCCTCCTCTGCTTCAGTCCCTGCCTGATACCATTTCAAAGGTAGTCGTGCATGTGGGGATCAACGACATGAAGCTGCAGCAGTCCGAGGTCACAAAGAAGCATTTTATGGATCTATTCCGCCTCCTCCAGTCCTTCGGGTTGTGTGTTTTTATCTCTGGTCCAGTCCCGACTGTAAACCGGGGAGACTGCTTGTACAGTCGCGTTGTGGCGCTCAACATGTGGCTCCAGTCTACATGCAGCACTTTTAACTTTATTTTTGTGAACAACTTTGGCCTGTTCTGGAAGCGTCACGTGGCCTATCGTCCAGATGGTCTGCACCCGAACAGATACGGCACCAGTTTGTTGACGGACTTCCTACGCCATGTTGTTCAGTGCTCCCAGAGGGGGGCGTGACTGTTTACATCTGAGGCTTCTCGGCCCCCACCACCCCCCTCCTCCTCCTCCTTACCAGCACCGGGTGGAGTACTGTGGTGCAAACACTGACCCCTGTCCGTCTGGCAGTGTAACGACAGTCCTGCCACTGAACTGTGCTGACTCAGTTATGCATCTGGAACTTAACAAAGTACAACAGAGTTCACTTTTTAAACCAATAGAGACTGTGTGTGTTTCTCGCACCAGCTCAGAAATGTGTTTTAACTTGAATAAACACAAATTTAAAAGAAGGACAGCAGTTAGACGGTCCAACTCTGGAAATCTAATTCCAGTTCTTTGTAATCAATCAACTAAACCCATTGACACTGATATTAATTTTAACCTTGCTCTACTTAATGTCAGATCACTATGCAACAAATAATAGAAGCCTCACCACCAAATTTCAAATTTGAACATGAAACACGAGAAAATAAAAGGGGGGGGGGCATAGCAGCAGTTTTTAAAGATCGTATTGTCTCCCATAGGGTGTCTCTTGGGAAATTTTCATCATTTGAGTATGTTTCTTTTAAAATAGAACAAAAGAAATCTTCTTCCATTCTTATTATTGTTGTGTACAAGCCGCCACAGTCATGCCATAGTTTCACTGATCATTTCACTGAGTTGCTTTCAGTTGTGTGCACAGATTTTGATGGTTTAGTCATTATAGGCGATTTTAATATTCATGTGGATAATGTTAATGACAGATACGCAAAAGAGCTGAGTTCCATACTTGAATCCTTTGGCCTCACTCAGCATGTGAGTGGCCCCACCCATAGCAGAGGACACACCTTGGACCTGCTTATTCACGAAAGGGGTGAATATTTCAAAAGTTAATGTAGTTGATGTTGCTCTGTCGGATCATTTCTGTGTATTTTTTTAACATGTGTTTTGCTACCAGACCACCCGCTAAATATGAAATTGTTAGAAGTAGACACTTAAATGAAAACACGGGTGAACTATTTATGGGAATGATCCATTTTGAGAACATATCATGTTCTACTGTAGATGAACTGCTTAACTCTGTCACCTCTAGTGTGTTGAATGTTCTGGACGCCATTGCCCCTGTGAAGGTAAAAATGGTCACAAATAAGCAAAAAGCCCCATGGATAAAAAGCAGGCCCGGTCAGGGCACAGAAGCTGTGCCGGAGAGCAGAGAGAAAGTGGAGAAAGTCCAACCTCCAGGGTGATTATAGACTCTTAAAAGAGAAGTTGTGTGAGTTTAACAGAGTACTACGTAGAACAAGAGAATTATACTTTTTCTGAAAACTATTGAAGGCTGCAGCAACAATCTGCGTGTTCTATTTTCAACAATCAATAGATTAACGAACCCCCTGTTGAGTTGCCATTAGAACACTACTCCAAATCCAGGTGTAATGAGTTTGCACAGTTCTTCAGAGACAAGGTTCAGGGTATCAGAAATGCCATCACCTCTACAACACAAGTAACAATGCAACATCCAGTGAGGCTTTGTGAGCTAGCTCAATTTGCACCTGTCAATGATGAAACTGTTAAAAAGATAATCACAGGTCTTAGTTCCTCTACCTGCAGTCTGGATGTACTACCTCCTAGATTTCTGAAGTCTGTTATGTGTAGTCTATTACCCTCATTGACACAAATAGTAAACATGTCTTTTTTATCTGGAACATTTCCAATGGCCCTGAAAAAGGCAGTCATTAGGCCCCTCCTAAAAAAGAGGCAGTTTGGATGCTGCGGTACTTGAAAATTACCGTCCCATCTCAAATCTGCCTTTCATGGGAAAAATTCTTGAAAAAGTTGCCTACAACAACTTACTGAATTTTTAATATCTAATGACTCATTTGACATGTTTCAGTCTGGCTTTAGACCACACCACAGTACTGAGACCGCTCTAGTCAAGGTAACAAATGATATTCGGCTTAACACTGATGCAGGAAAGTCTCTGTTTTAGTCATGTTAGATCTGAGTGCCGCTTTCGACACCGTGACCATGAGATTCTCATGCAGAGACTGGAGGACTGGGTTGGTGTTGCTGGTACCGCCCTAAGCTGGTTTAGGTCCTATCTAGAAGAAAGGAAGTACTGTGTGGAGATTGGAAACTATGTCTCAGATAATATGGCCCTGACCTGCGGAGTGCCACAGGGGTCGATTCTGGGACCTCTCCTGTTCAATATTTACATGCTGCCATTAGGTCAGTTAATTCAAAGTATGAAAGTGTCCTACCACAATTACGCTGATGACACTCAGATCTATGTCTCACTGACTGCAGGAGAGCATGGGCCGGTGGACTCACTCCTTCGCTGTATCCAGCGGATCAGTGAGTGGATGCAATGCAATTTTCTCCAGCTAAATGCGGACAAAACCGAAATGATTGTCTTTGGTCCCGAGAAACAAAGAGAGACCGTCATTTGTCACCTTCAGTCTCTCTCCCTAAGGCCCTTAAATAAGGTCAGAAATCTGGGAGTAATAATGGACTCTGACTTAAACTTCAATAGCCACATTGGATCGGTAACATCAGCAGCTTTTTATCATCTGAAAAATATTGCCAAAATTAAAAATATTGTGTCCAGGGCAGACTTGGAGATTCTTATCCATTCTTTTGTTTCCAGTAGGCTGGATTACTGCAATGGCCTGCTCACAGGTATCTCCAAACATGCAGTAAGACAGTTGCAGTATATTCAAAATGCTGCAGCCCGAGTCCTGACTAGAACCAGGAAGTACGACCACATTAGTCCGGTCCTCAGGTCTCTGCACTGGCTTCCCGTGGCCCAGAGGATAGACTTTAAAGCAGCTCTCCTGGTGTACAAGTCTCTCCATGGCCTTGCACCAAAGTACATCCATGATATGCTAGTCTCATATGAACCAGCCCGGACTCTGAGGAGCGCAGGGACGGGACTCCTGTTAGTGCCCAGAGTCAGGACTAGACAGGGGGAGGCTGCTTTTCAGATTTATGCAGCTGGAGTCTGGAACGGTCTTCCTGAGGATGTGAGACTGGCTGCCTCTCTGTCAAT